TGTAGGTGTACAAGTTTCTACGCTTTTGTTTAAACCTGTACCGACACCCGTCACGGATTGTGACAGATATGTCGAAGTACTAGTTTAGATCTTTTCAGATTTTATACCTCATCATTTCGGACTGTAAATGGTTTTTGGATTATAAAAGTTAGACGTGAAAACGAGACCTTTATCTCCCCCTCTAGTTCAATATGCAGATTCTTGTTACAGGTCGTGATAGAGATTTCGGCATGCTGCTTGTTGAACCTTGTTAGAGATGATGAATAATATACAGAAAGTATTCATGTACGACTAAAGAAGCTACATCTAATTTCAAATTTTAATCCTGAAGGGATTGTGTTGAAAGCTTTTTCTATAGTCTCCTTTTAATCAAAAATGGTAGTGAAGGAATTTATATAGTACTGTGATAGTATACGAAATATGCATCTAAGTTACTCCCACTTGAAAAACGTTACAGAAAACTTCAGAAGTATTATTTCCACCAATGCTTCTTTTTTCTTCGAGCAGGTGGTGAAGGTGCCGCCTGTGCAAGTAATGCTTGGTACATGGCGTGGGCGTGCTGTCTAGCTGCTTCAGCAGCTCGAAGTTGCTCTTGTTTAATTTCTTGTTCCTGACGAAGCTTCTCATAGTAACGCTGAGCTTCTTCAGCTTTTCTACGTAGGTCTTGTAACTCGAGTTGATATCTTTTGTTCTCTTCTTGGTAGCGGCATTGTTGTTCCGCATACAGCTGATCTTGTTTTTGTATTGAGCGTTGTAAAGATTCAATTTCAGTCTGGTGATTAGTCATCGTTTGGTTGAATACTCGTTGACCTTCTTCAATTTCTTTCTTGTACTTATCTTGTTCAGCCTCAATTTGAGCTTGCAATTCTTTAATTCGCTGCGTTCCCTGTTTAAGCTGATCAACAAGTGTTTCGATTTCTTGTTCCTTATGATGTTCTGATGGCATACATTCTACGAACACCTAAAATAGCGAAAAAAACACACTTTGTGATAACTACATACCATTAAAGAATACAACAAAATTTTCAATCTATTGAACCCTATCAGTTTCGACGCTGATCAGTAAATTATAAGTTTTCTCCGAAGCCACAACACAATACAAATTTCAAATTCCTAAAATCGGTCCTACAGAGCACTCAAGGATTTATACAATGAAAATATTCCATTAAAACGTCCGTTGTACTGAATGAAATTGAAGTATATCAATTCTAATAACCGCCCGAATGAAGTGGAGTTGTTGTGGGTGTAGATAACAGAGCAACGCTGATACTCACATCACGAACAACGCATATAGTGATGCTTAATACTGCTGTTTCCTCCATTCAGTCACATGATATTATCTTTCAACGAAGCTTGTACGGAATGGACAACCCGATACCGGCTACAGTCTTCAAATGACTAAAACGCATATTGGACATTTTTAAAGTGCTCTTTAGTTTTCTTTTAATGTTATGCAAAATCATCAAGTTTTATTACGTTTTTCCAAATTGTTCAGGTTTCCCATCGGAACCCCATTGAAAATTGTTCATACTGAAAGTTTCAGACTAACTCGGTGTCATAGTGCAAAGATATCAAAAGGCGACTTTTCAAATATTTCGGTGTTGCAGACAATGTCGGATATAATGACTCATATAGAGCACTGATTCCGACCAAAATCAAAAGCTGAATATCTCATGTTCTAGCTCCTGAAAAACTCTACAGAACTGTATATTTGGAATTGTAGAACACTTTCGTTGAGTGCGTGTGCCTCAGCATAGGGAAAGTACAAGATACGACTTAAAATCTGATGTTATAACCTAGAACAAGTCCTGAAATCGTATCCATAAGACCATCGGAGAAACTCAGATTTAGTCTTTTCGACTCAGTTTCGATGGTGATACAAATCCGATATCAGATCTAGCTATCATATTTGATTTTGAACCAATTTTATCAAAATATGACATTAAATGGCTATTTTTAGCATTCTACCTTAGATATGTGCTTATTTTTGTTTAGCGACTATTGTTATTTTGATCCGATAATAGCGGGGTCTTGTAGCTCTTAGAAAGACCGTTAGCTGAAGTATAATGGAAGCTAGTCAAAAAGCATTGATCTTTATCAAGATCAGATGAAAAGATTACCACAAACGCATATACGATCATGATATTTTCGTGCGTAGGTAATGTTGGTATTCGCAGAAAATAAAAGAGTGCTTTAGAAACATGGCTTATGTAGAAAAATGTAGCCCAGTCCGAGAGCTATCGAACGCACTATAAGCGAGCCTCTACGTGTTTTCTGTGTTAGCGCACATACGATCTACGAAATACATTGAGTTTTAGGCGCTTTTTGGTCCAACTTCCTGTTGATCCTACTCTGTCGAGTATTGATTAGAGCGTCGCAAATTGTATTGCCAAAATGTTGACCGGATTACGTGCTTGCATCTCGTATAAAACTCGGTCTAATTAGATGTCAGAAAGTTTAAGGGGCCGAACCGACTACTAAGGCGCATTCGTCCTTTTATTTTTGCCGTGTTTAAATGGAAAAGTCATGAAAGTCATTAATTGTTTTGAATTTCTCAAAGCTCCTTGCATAGTATCTCTCGCTTCAGCAGTCACTGCAGAAGTAGCAGCTTCTATCAAGAATGCAGTAATGATCGAAAACTGTGGTACTCACTTGTAACAATTTTTCTTTGAGATGTTGTCGTTCATTTAAATCATTGACGTTGATGAGGTCCAGAAAGCAGACATTGTTGTTATTAACACTGGTACCTTGCAAAAGGTTTTGAAGAAGAACAAGTGTTGAGCCTTCATAATTGCTTGGTCTCCTTTTGGGTAAACCATTCACAACGAGTACCAGGGATTCAGGTTGAAATCGATAAGCTGCATTGATGGCATTAAAAGCTACAACATCTTCTTCACATATTCTTCCACCTTGGTGACCAAATACGAACATCACTATCGAATTAGGTCGTAGTGAAAAAGCTTTATCAATTTCTCTCTTATTTAAGTCGATACGTTCTTGTTCAGCTTCGATCAAACCTGGAATATTGAAAACGGTGAAGGGCAAATCACCAAGTTCAATTTCTTCGAATTCAGTAGCGCGAGTAACTGAACTGGAACTAAACTTATGAGCGAATGCTTCGCGACCAACGAATACATTGGCTAGAAAACTCTTGCCGACGCCTGAGTTGCCGAGAATTATGAGTCCACATTGTTCGATCGTAACCATATCATTTTTATCTGTTATTTTTCCGTGATCCATGACTATAGATTCAACGTCTCTTGTTGTAACATTCATCTTAGTTTTTTAATGTTCGAACACAAATGAATAGTAAAGAGAAGTAAAGTGAGATTTTATAGATATGTTTGTTGTCTTTGTTTCGTAGCTGGTAAAATCCAATAACAACACGAATGAGACTATGTTGATAAGAATAACGAAGAATATGCTTACATTATATGTTGTTGATAAAAAAAGTGCGGTTGGAAGTTTTTCTTTCCACTTCTCACAGTTGATAACAATGAGTTTTGTTAAAGCTTACTCTCTTATTACCTTTTATCCCTGTTATATGACGAATTTTTACCAACATATAGACAGTCCTCTCACAGTATGCAATATTTCATAAAAACCTTCATTTTATCATACAGGTGTAAACACATGAGAACAAGAGTTTAAGAAGCAATAAGAAAACTTTTTATACAAACTTTTACTCAGTAAACGTAGGTCTTCTATAAAAATACAATTTTATTCGCGACAAGGTTTATCTTTATTAAACTGAATTATAGAATCTTTTTGGGATACTTTCAAAAAAGAAAATCTTTCAACCACAAAAGATAGTTAACTCTCGAATGTTAAAAATATAACAGTAAACCTTAGTAAATGCGAATTATTCTCCCGTAAACTATTAATCTACTTGAATACCATCTGTTTTTTCTAACAATTTCGTGTATCTGTTCTATCTATTTATATGAAAAATAAAAAAGATCGTGCAAATGTATTTATCATAAATACGTAGAGCAAGTTTGGATGCATTTCTTCCAACCTGAATACTTATTCACTTATTGTCAGTTAGTAATATGTATGTCAAACTCTTTGCAATGTGCAATTATATGAAATTTATTTATTAAATGATAGGAAATACAAAATAAAAACACATTTCGTTTCATCTTCAGCGATACAATGATAGTCTTAGAAAGGAAGATCATGAGCTGGCTTCATGATCTTTTATTTCATTTCCCATTGAAAATACACCAGGTATCATATTCACCACTGGGAGCAGCGGTACCGCAATCTCGACAACTTTTTGCAAAAAACTTTTCTTTTTCTGACGAGGTGGTGCGGGTGGTTCTCGGTTACGTAATTCCTGATATGCGCTCTGGAGCTGCTGATTTGCTGCTTCTGCAGCACGAATTCGCTCCTGTGTGGCTTCATGGTCGCGAGAAAGCTTTTCATAATTACGTTGAGCTTCTTCGGCTTGACGACGCAAATCTTGTACTTGACTTTGATGCTGCCGACTTTCTTCTTCGAAACGACGCTGTTGTTCAGCATACAATTCTTCTTGTTTCTGCATTGCTCGTTGTAAGGATTCGGTTTCACTGCGATGATTAGCAATTGTTTCATTGAGCACACGTTGACTCTCTTCGATTTGTTTCATGTATTTTTCTCGATCTACTTCAAATGTTTTCTGTTGCTCTTTTATTATAACCTTACCCGCATTCAGTTCGTCTTTGAGTGTTACGATCTCTTGCTTTTTTTTGTGTATTGTTGGTCGGAACTCCACTATTACCTTAATTTGAAATAAAACGAACATTAACATAATATGTTATTTTGGAAAACAACCAACTGATCTCTACTGAGCTAGTCAGCGTTCGAAATTTGGCCGCCATGGCCGAGTGGGTTCGTTGTTCGACACGTATTCACAGGTTATACTGTGTGCAAACCTCGGTATCATCAACTATGGAATAACCCTGAACAAGCTACTGACGGTTGTCTGTCTCGAATCACCCATCCAGTAGCATGATGATTATATCACGACATGCGATACAGCTCTCCTAGTTACTATGCATTTAGTCAATGTGCATAAGGAGCTTAAGTAATTGAAGACGAAGAGCTCTGCGTCAGATCGACCTTCTGTCAAGAGCTACAGCTAGCAATAGTTGTGGAAAAACAACGGGTTTCTGAAACTGTTCTCAGACAGCACCTGATTCCTAAAAGTAGCCGAAAGGCAAGAGACTTCTTCTTCTTCAGCATTTAAAACTTGACAAGCAGCTCCTCATAGGAATGGTAAGGTCCAGTTAAGTGAGCTCCACGCTGCGTCAGCACCAAATTAGGCTAAATGTCAATCCAAGCTTTCTATAGTCCACACTTTACCACTAAAAGCGGTCTATCTTAGTTTTATGTCAAAACTCATCATTTAACCGCTTAGCATTTATATAATTACTGGTAATTAGTCTCATTAATTAAAAACATCCTTCTAATTACTTCCGGTAACTAATGAGACACCACTAATTACACCCGGAAGTCAACGAAATGGCTCTAATTACACCGCCTAATTAATGAGATACCGCTAATTACTCACGGAAGTGACTGAAATACCTCTAAGTAAGCCCTGTAATTAATGCGATACCACTAATTATAACCCGGAAGTTACTGAAATACCTCTAATTAATCAGTCACTTCCGGGTTATAATTAGTGGTATCTCATTAATTACAGGGGTTAATCAGTGGTATTTCACTTACTTCCGGGTTGTAATTAGGGATATCTCATTAATTACCGGAAGTAATTAGAGGTTTGTAATTAATAACCGAAAGTAATTGGAAAGGTATTCTTGATTGACGATTTTAATTACCTATGATTATAAAATTCTCAAGGACTTAGATGGTAGTTTATTATATAGGGCTATAATGGACTGCATTTTATTAGGTAAAGTATGGATGGGTAAGTGAGCTCCAAACGTGGAGTTTAAATGTGAAGCTCACTTATCTTAACCGAATGGTAATGAATCTCTCAACTGAAAATACAAAACATATATTATATCTCTCTGTTTCAATACAATATATGAGATGGCCAAGGTAAAACAAAATACTAGTTATAGAGTTCCATAAGAATAGAATAACTTCTTATCGAACCTTGAAATCTTACTTGTAAAAGTTGTTCCTTTAAACGTTGTTTTTCTTTTACGTCTTTTTTGTCAATTTGGTCTAAGAAGCACAAATTATGACTGTTGACAGACACACCAGTCAGAAGCTGCTGAAGAAGAACAAGAGTTGTGCCTTCATACTTCGGTGGCCGGTCTTTTGGTAAGCCATTGACAACGAGAACAAGTGATTCAGGTCGAAATGGATACGCTGCATTAATGGCATTGAAAGCAACCACATCTTCTTCTCTCATACGACCACCTTGTTGACCAAATACGAACATAACTATTGAATTGGGTCGTTGTGCAAAAGCTTTGTCAATTTCCTTTTTATTCAAATCGATACGTTCTTGCTCAGCTTCGATCAGGCCAGGAATATTGAAAATGGCCAAAGTATCATGTCCTAGTTCCATTTCTTGAAATTCAGTGGTGTGTGTAACTGAACTTGAACTAAAGTCGTGCACAAAAGCATCACGACCAAGAAGTATATTGCCAAGAAAACTTTTGCCTACTCCTGAGTTGCCTAAAATGATCAGACCATGTTGGTCGTCGTCATCATTTGTCATTTGTGGAAGATTAGAGACTATAGACGCGTGAGTGCTTATTGCAGTGGCCATTGTGTGAATTTGCTTTATGAATAAATGTCACTAATATCAAATTGTAACAAGTTTTTATATACGTCTTTGTTAGTCATTATTCATATGTGGTAAAAATTCAGAGACAACACGAAACAACCACGATGATAAGAAAAGAAGAATGTGCATACATGACAAACGACTGATAAAAGCATGCAATGATGAAATATTTCTCTTTCTCTGTCGACTTGTTGATAAGAGCGAATGAAGTTGCTTTTTTCCTACTCCTTAGCATTTGGTTTTTGCCGTGTGCAGAATATTTACCAACATAGATATCTAAAACACCGCACCAAATTTTGAAAAAGGAGTTTTTAGCATATAGTCGTAAGTATATGAGAATAGAGCTTCGAAGGGAGTTGGTCTAGGTATCTCATTTATATCATGCTCACACTCACACTCACCCATTGTAATAGTCCGAAGCCTTCATGCTGTGAATAATATTAGAAAGAGATTCATTTAATATGCAAAGAAATCAAACTGATGTTTAAAAATATAAAAATAATATGCAAACCTACGGATGAAAAACATAATTATTAAGACTAACATAATAAATGTATTTGTATATTTTTTTTTGTTTTTGTGAAATTATTTTATTATTTAATAAATAAGTAGAAATAAATAAATAAAGAGAATTTATGACAAAGATTTTCATCATACATTAACAATTGATTTTAGTTAATTATTTTGAAATAATTAATATAGTATTTAAACTAAGTTGATAATTGGGTAGTATCCATTGAATTTTGAAACAATTATTTAATTCTTTATTTTTTATAGTTAATATTTTTTTATATTGATTTGTTTGTTTTGAATCATTACTTAAAATATATCCTTCAACACGAAAATAAACTTTTTCAATTTTATTCCAAATTGGATACCAATAAAAGATTAAATTTCGAAAAAAATCTTCATTAAAAAATCGACATTTAATATTCAAATGAAGACGTTGTAGATTATGTATTTTTGTTTGTAAATGTTTTAAAAAAATACATAAAATATGTTCAGATCCTTGAAATTTAATAGTTCGAAGTTGTAAAAGATTGAATATGATATCATTAAATTTTCTATTTAAACTAATACATAAATCATGATTACTTGAAATATCCAATTGTTTTAATTTTGACATACTAGCCAATAAACAATTTACCAATCGATAATCAATTACATATAAAAAATGAATATAAAATATTTCAATATTACTGTTTACATGTAAAGGATTTATAATATTCCATAAGAATTCTTTGATATGTAATTGAAATATACGAAGAGTAGATATACTAAGTATATTTTTTAATAAAGTTGCTTGAATATTACATGTAATCGATAAATATTCTAATGAAGGAAGTTTATGAAGAATTCGATAAATAATATTTGTTTGTTGAGAATTTATTGTAATTGTTAATGATTGTAATCGAATGAATTTTTGAGCATTTTGACGAAGATATTCAGGAATATATCCACATTTATTTTGACTTGTTGATCGTAGACAAGTAATGCGATTTACTATTCGATTAAACCAACGAGGAGTAGGAGTATATGGAGTATAACGATAGTTTTGTTTATTCAATTGAATATAAAATGTTAAATAATTGGAAGAAAGTAATTGAGTAAAACGATAATTTAATTTGAAAAAAGTATAAACTAGATCATGTGCTTCGAAATATGAGAAAATTATAAACCATAATTCATTTGGAAGATGTTCAGCTTGTGTTATCATTTTAATGAATTGTCAAGAAAATTTTGTATTGTTATTAAGTAATATATAATGCAAAAAAAACATCGATAATAAATAAGGTCACGTTCCTAAATGATTATTAATGATAGTCGTTGCATTGTAGGTGACGATGCTACTGCATTCCGGACTATTTACTGTTAATATTTAGCCGTCCGATATTATCCGTCGATGACAATACAAAAATTATATTTCATTATTTTGTTCTGACTCTCATTAAACAATGAACGGTAATCTATTTGTTCCATTATAGCAATGCAATAACGTAAATTAACAATTTCCGTTCATCCATTATTGACTATTGGACGACTCTAAGGAAGTTCTGCATATAATACAGAATTTTTGTTTTAGATTTAAGTTTTTAAGCATTTTAAATTCAAGAAGAATAAATAAAATATGTTTGGGAAAGAGTGAAACTTAATAACTATACAAATTAGAAAGATTTGCTTGTTTTAGAAAAGTAATAGATAGTTTTTCAATATCACTACTTATACTAGACGTGTAATTAGAAGTTATTACCGATTTCCAAAATATTAATTGACATTTATATAGACTACAACTATGTAATGCTTCTTGTAAATGTATTGTAATAGAGCCAGTTTAGTAGCATACCAATTCATAGTATATAATATTGTACTTCTTCTTAAGGATATATGGTAATAAACAGAAGCAAACTATAATATTTACTCTCTAATGGTTTTTCTTTGAAGATTTTTCAGAATATTGTGTAAATGTATGAATTATGATTTGTTTTAACAATACAGTCTATTCTTCATCTGACTGCTAATGATAACAGACTATGATTATCTCGGACATTGATAAAATAAAACCGTAGGATGGATATTCTGTTATTGATTAATTTATATTCTTTGTTTATTTATTTGAATAAACAAAAATTATTTAAAATCAAACGATATACTAATTAACATTTCGATATAAAAACTCGATTATTCTAACAAGTATTAGAAGAATAAGCCAATATTAATTGATTGAATTACTTTATGTCTAGAGTTAAAAGTGTTTCTGGCTACTATCGGACCGGACCGACCGGTCTTTCCGAAGACACTGAACGGGCTGGGTCGGGCTAGACTTAAGCATCATTGGGCCGGGTGGGTTTACAATATTGAAGGCTCGATGTGGGCCATGGTGAGCCAGAAGGAAGTGGACCAATTTCGAGGCCTGCTCCACTATTCCGTTCGAGTAATTTAACGATTATATTCATCGCATCATCTCCGATCCGATTACCTGAGACGGTTAGTATGGTGAGTGTCTAGATGAAAAAGTAGAGCCTAAGACATGATATGGGTAAAGAGAGAATGAGGGCTACTATGTTGTTTTGTAATGCATCACCTAACGATTGTGCTCCAACGTCTCGGATTTCATTGTGCGAGAGTTTTAGTGCGGTAAGTACCTGGATGAAAAAGCGGGGGTAAAGCAATAATATGAGTAAAGAGACAATAAGAGTTACTGTGTTGCATTTTAATGCATCACCTAAAGATTGTGCACCAACATCGTTAATCCAATTATGCGAGAGATCTAGCGCGGTGAGTGTCTGAATGAGAAAGTGGAGCTAAAGACTTAGTAGAGATAACGAGAGAATAAGAGATACTTTGTTTTGTTGTAATGCATCACCAAAAGATTTTGTTCCATCATTTCCGATATAATTATCCCAGAGATTTAGTACGGTTAGTGTCTAGTTGAAAAAAGTGGTGGTAAATACTTAGTAAAGATAATGAGAGAATACGAGTTACAGAGTTGTACTGTAATGCATTAGCTAAAAATTGTGCTCCAACATCTCCGATTTTATTGAACGAGAGATTTAATGTAGTGAGTGTCTAGATGAAAAAGTGAAGGTAAAGACATAGTACAGACATGGAAATAATAATAGTTACTGAGTTATGCTGTAATACAACACCTAATGACTGTGCTCCAACATCTCCGATTCCATTGTGCGACAGATTTAGTGTGGTGAGTGTCTAAATGAAAAAGTAGAAGTAAAGACATAATACAGATAACAAGAAAATAAGGCTTACTGAGTTGTATTGTAATGCATCTCCTAAAGATTGTGCTCCAACCGCTCCAATTTCATTGAACGAGAGATTTAGTGTGGTGAGTGTCTAAATGAAATAGTAAAGCCATAGACACAGTACAGATAATGAGAGAATAAGAGTTACTGTGTTTTGTTGTAATGCATTTCCCAAAGATTGTGCTCCAACATTTCTGATTTGGTTACATTGGACATTTAGTGTGGTAAGTGTCTAAGTGAAAAAGTAGAAGTAAAAATATAGCACAGTTAAGGATACAATGAGAGTTACTGAGTTGTGTTGTAAACCATCGCCTAAAGATTGTGCTCCAGCGTCTCCAATTCGATTGTTCCAGAGATTTAGTGTAGTGAGTGCCTAAATGAAAAAGTGGAGGTAAAGACGTAGTACACATAAGGAGAGAATAAGAGTTACTGAGTTGTGCGGTAATGCATCACCTAATGATTGTGCTCCAACCTCTGCGATTCCATTGTTCCAAAGATTTAGTGTGGTGAGTGTCTAAATGAAAGAGTAGAGATGAAGACACAGTATAGATATAGAAAGATTAAGAGTTACTGAGTTGTATCGTAATGCATGACTCAAGGATTGTGCTCCATCATCTCCGATTTCATTATAATGGAGATCTAGTGTTGTGATTGTCTAGATGAAAAAGTGGAGGTAAATACATAGTAAAGTTAAGGAGAGAATGAAACTTACTGTGTTGTTTAGTAATGCACGACGCAAAGATTGTGCTCCAACATCTCCGATTCGATTATGTGAGAGATTTAGTGCGGTGATTGTCTAGCGGGAAAAGTGGAGGTAAAGACATAGTACAGACAAGAACAGAATAAGAGTTACTGTGTTGTATAGTAATGCATGACCCAAAGATCGTGCTCCAACATCTCCAATTTCATTATTTTCGAGATCTAGTGTGGTGATCGTCTAGATGGAAAAGTAGAGGTAAATATATAGTACATATTAGGAGAGAATAAGATTTACTGAGTTGTGTTGTAATGCACGAGCCAAAGATCGTATTGGAATCGATCCGTATCGATGATTCGAAAAATCTAGTGTGGTGACTGCCTAAATGAAATATTGCAGTTAAAGATACGGTATAGAAGGAGAGACTGATTGGTTGATTAGTGTTACGTGTGGTTATAGTAGGGAAGTAAAAGTTGAAAGTGTAGGTGTGTAGTTATTCGATTTCATTCACACCCACACCCTCAAGATTTCTATTATCGAAAAGGTGTTCAAACAAAGGGTACTTATATATACGTAAAAAGTAAATAACAATGTTTTATTCCCTTTTTTCGTTCTTACCTAAGCACTATATGTTTATGACATCATATCTAGTTGGAAATGTGAAATATTGAAGTTGTAAGTGAAGAGAAAAGAAAAAAAAGGAACTTTTCGGGAGAAAGAGGTAGGTAATGATTTATTTTGAGTAAGAAATAATTTATTCACGTATGTTATATTGGAATCAATAGATAAAAATTAAACTATCATGATAGAAAAAAGTTTACCTGATAGCGCTCGTAGCTATCTACGATGCTGTTGAAACGTTGACATACGTTTCTCATAGAGTAGAGAATGGTCCAATACGAGTGATTATCCAAAATACGGTGGACAAGTTCTACCGGTAATTTAAGGAAGTTAACGGCAGTTTGATTTGCCATTGTGTAATGTTGATGAAATGCGTGTTGTGTAGACTTATATGTTAGTTATATATAATGTTCTTTATCTTATCAGTATATAAATGGATATTTGTTTTGTATCCTAGATTTTACATGATGTTGTAAATACTTGTTGGAAGAAAAAAATGAAAAAGAATGATATCAACTAGAAAACGGAGATGGATTAGTCAGCGATTTTTTGATTCAAGTCAAGTCAAAATTCAAAATAGCTCCCATTAAGTTTCATTTTATTCTTGAAGGATCAAGCTATGACACTTTCGTTCTATTTTAGCGAAGAATAATTTTTCAAATGAAGTTTCACAATAAGTAGAGGGTGACTAGAACAAAAAAATGTATTACACATAAATCGATGTTGGTTCACAGAAAACCATTTCTTTTTTCTTTTTAATATTTAATATCTTTAAAGAATTTTTCACGAACAGTTCTAGGTATATTAGATGATGAAGATGGTGAATTACTTTCTTGATTCATATCGTGTTCATATCGAAATTTTATTTTATTTTGTTGAATGATTTATAAATTTAATTATTGTAAAACAAAGGAATCAGGATATTTTCATTAAACAAACTATTGAGAAGTGAGATAGCCAATTAATACTGGAAAGGACTTCCAACATTCCTAAAACTTTTTTCATTTCAAGATAAGTCGCAAGCGCGTCTCTGATGGCAACCATGAAATTCAAGAAAATAAATAGAACTTGACTCTAGAGATATTATATACTTGAGTATTAAATCAAACTAATACAAATCAATCGAACATTGTTGATCATTACTGTCAATTTCTTTTAATAAAATATAGAATAAAAAATGATTCAATGCTAGTATTCAACCAAGATGACAATTTCAATTCATACTTCATTGAGCCATTTTTTGATACATGTTTTCTAATCGTTTTAGGACAGATTATTCAAAACTTGAGCAATGTTTCGCTTACGAAAGTGTTCATTATATGGCATATTTGTATTTTTGTATTTATTAAAATATCATTTTAATAATGATAAATAGTGGGAAAGAATAAAATACACGTTTTATTAAGATTTCGTAATATTAATTTCAATCGATTTGAGTGGTATAAAATTCTGTTCAGTCCATTCAACTTTCATAGATCCATTAGATTTTTTCATTTTATTAAGTAGAATTTGTTGATTTTTTTGTAAATTCATCTGTGTATTATTATCATTAATATCAACATATAAATGACCTTTAATGTATATATTAATATATGAAATTTGTTCTATAACTGGCCACCAATAAAACATAAAATCATCAATAAATGTCTCGGATAAGATATGTTTATTATAATGGAAATAGAAATGTTTTAAAACAGGTGCTATTAAATGTAAATATTTCAAACAATCTGATGTTAAATGACCATTTGCTAATTTAAGTTTAAGAATTCGAAGTTTTGAAAGAGTACATAAATGCGTAGTAAATATCGATGCTTGTTGAAAACTAAAATATGAACCAGAGACTTCAAATCGTTTTAATTCTGATAAATGAATTAAAAATAAATTTATAATAGCATCATTTACATTACTAAGGAAGATAATAGTAAGCTGTTTAATATTACTATTTACATGTACTTGATTATTAATAATATCTGTTGATTCTCTTAAAACTAATTGACATATTTGTAAAGTTTGTATACTAATAATTGATTTGAATAAATTTTCATTTAATGTACATACTAAAGATAAATGTCTAAGTGCAGAAAGTTCATTTACAGCTTTACAAATCGATAATGTATATGATACATTTCGTGAATTGATGTTAATCGATAAACTTTGTAATCGAATTAATTTCTTCGCATTCAAATGAAGAAATTGAAGAAAATAAGACGATCGTAATTGAGTAGATGTTCGAAGACATATTGTACGATTAAGTACTGAATCAGACCAATAAGGATTAGTATCAATTTCTTTAAATCGAATATAAAATGAAAGATAATTTGATGCAAGTATTTGCTCAAAATAATAATTTAAATGATGAAAAGCATAAAATAGATCATGTGCTTCCAAATAACGATAAATCATAAGCCATATTTCAACAGGAAATTGTTCCGCACACGTTTTCATTCTTTTTGTTTAGTGTGTTTATGAAAAAAAACCCGAGTGATTGCACAATACTCAGGTAATGCTAGTTATACAGAAGTTTACGCCAATAGTACTCGAAAAGTCAAGCATGAAAATAGAGGGAGCTTGATATTCCTCTCCTATTAAAAATGATTGTTTTTGAAATGAAGAAAAATGTTAAGTATATCATTAAACATAGCTTTTTTTGTTTCTGTAGGTTTTGAAATTAAAACCTAATACTGGAAAAAAAACTGAACTAATTTTTTTTATTTTCTTCTTTTTCATAGTGCCACACTGGCCACCAGAATATAACAACAAAAAAACAATAATAGAAATGAAACAAATAACAAATTGATGTTGTCTTTTGTTTAATCGGAATCTTCTTTATTTTTTTTCTTATGTTTTTTATGTTTCTTTTCACTTGTTGAATCATCTAGTGTCTAAATTTAAAAATAAATATATAGAAAAAAGGATTCTGTTTTTTTTAAAATTTATTTACTGAATTATCAGCAACTGATGATGTTTGCATTGGTTCATCATCATCATCTTCAACTTTAACTCTTTTTTCTTTTTTCTTCTTTTCAGATTTCGATTCATCTGATGCACCTGTTGATACAGCTGATTCTTCATGTGGTCGCTAAAGAAATAATATTTAATAAAATTAAAAAAAAAGAAGATCTATATTTAAACTTACTTTTGAAGCAGATGGATTAGCATTAACATCATAGAGCATATCACGCCAATTTTTTGGTGTTTGATCTGTTGGTTTACCAAATTTACCTAAGATACCTTCTTTGATCATTAATTTCTTTTTGGAAGCCTGAAAATAGAAAAGAATTTTTGATTTTCTTTTTCATTTCTACAAATAAGAAACTTACAACAGGTCCAAAACCCCATTTTCTTGGATATGTATCACGTTCCATAACTACACGTTTTATTTTGGCTGCGATACCATGATCACATGTTGCCATTGTGGCTGTTGTCATTAAAGCAATACCTAAAGCAACAGCTTCACCTTTTGTTGTTGTTATAACAATCTGTTCATTTATTTCAATTCCATCTTCATAACGAAGTACACCAGGTAATAATAATTTTGCACCATAACAAACTGCGTTAACCTATTTTTTTTTTTCAAGAGATAAAAATATCAATAAAAAAATATATAATCAAGATTATTCAACATACAGCACTATCTTTAATAATAATACGCTTGTGTGATACAAGTAATGCTTCTAATGGTTTAACAACACGACGAAGATAAGTTTCATCTTTATTATGCATATAAGCATATGTTGCATCAATGACATCATGCATTGTTACCATGCCTTCCTACAAAAAATATCTATTTATGCCTTTAAATTCAAAGTTTCTTTTTCTTACTTGTTCTGATTGAATACCAGATCGGACACGACGTAGCTCTTGCATAATACCACCAACACCAATTAGAAGACCCATATGAACACATAGTGTTCGAATGTAAGTTCCAGCTTCACAACTAACCCAAAAAATACCTAAAATATTCAAAAATTTTATTTCGAAAGAAAAACAATCATAAAATTAGATTTTTTTACCAATATTTCGTTTTTGATCGAATTCCAATAGTTTGCTTTCATAGATGGTTCGAATACGGAGTTGTCTTTTAACAGCAGCAATAACTGGTGGCTTTTGAAATACGGCACCAGTTAAAGATTCAAGTGTCTAAAATTTAATTAATATTTTTTTTTACAAAGAGAAAAACAACGTATTTTTCTATAAAACTTACGCGTTCGACTTTTTTAATATCATCAATTGGTGAATGAAAACGTACAACACCAATATATTCTTTACCAGCTGATTGTTGAGATTTAACAAGACGTGTTGCGCGTTCAATACAAACAATTAAACAACCCGATACTTTCGGATCTAATGTACCTGAATGACCTGTTTTTGTTACTGGTAATGCTTTACAAAATATGCGTTTAATCCATGCAACAACTTCATGTGATGATGGATTTACAGGTTTATCCAAATTAATAAATCCTGATCTAATAATAACCAGAAATAATTTTTTATAAAAAAAAAAAAAAATTTTTCTTGGGTAATTTACTTGATATATTCGTCGATTGGTCGTTGTAACGGTGAACAACCGGTCGAAATTGCTAGAAAAAAAAACAATCGAAAAAGATTTATTTATCTAATCGTAAAATCTACGTTAATGTACTTACGCGTATAATGATTCGAACGAACATTTAAACGATCGAAATTCTAATAGAAAAAAAAACAACAATAAAATAAATTAAAATAAAACATTTTCAAAATTAATATACTTTTAGAAGAAGTGGCCAATCGGATGTATTTAGTTTGCCACCAGTTGTTGATGGTTCAATAGAGAATTTACCTTGATGCTGAATATCCTGATAAGATATGAGAAATAATTAAGTAAATTAGTATGTAAATATAAATTAAAGGCTTACAGCTATACTTTTGCTTGCCATGAACGAAGCGAGATAATGATTTAACTAAAGCAAAAAAAGAATACAGAAAGTTCACTGTACAGTTGTTGTGAATAGTTATTGGATGCACTCGAAAAGTTACTACGAAGAACAATGGGAATCTTATCGGTTTGGTTAGTTTCTAACGAATAGAGTTCAAATATGAAACTGATGGAGGATGATTTTGTATTCCATTTAAACAATCAGTTTTATTTTGAAAGAAGAAAAACTTACAAAATAAAGATAAAATCTATTTTATGCAAACTTATCATGTAATAAACAAATAAGAAATTATGATTTTCAACGACATCTACATACACAAGAGTTAAACTATGTCGAACGACTGACATTCATATCTATATGATAAGTATTAACCTTGAAAATAGATTGATTTTAATGAATGACGCTTCATAATAATATGAAATATTTCAATTCTATGATAAAATATTATTGTCTATAAATTAATTAAAAAAATTCTATACTTTTTGTTAAATGTTCATTTTTATTCATATAACTGACAAAGATGGTTTATAGCTTATCATTAAATATCTACTTCAGAAAAAACAATTAAACATTAATTAAATCTCAATCACATATTGAACAACCAATTAGTAATAATTAACTTTATGAACGTTTACGTATTGAAGTATATGATTATTATTCAGATTACGTAGAAAGTTATAAGAAATTTATTTTTCGATGTTCGTTTGGAGTCGTTTCATGATAGTTTGGCTCCATTATTATTAGCAATATCATCAGTAAATAATCTCGAAGAATAGCATGCTCCTTAAATTATTTCTTGCATGTAAACAAAGATTAGACAAATTTCATTTTATTTTTAATCTTTCTCGTTAAAATAAGTTTATCATGTGTCTTGTGATAAAATAGTCTGATATTCGGATGATTTTCATCATCTATCAAATATTCTTGTATTATAAAATATTTTCTTTATCAATCAATATCAGTCGATCAGCTTTTTGTTCCAAGACACTTATATGATCATTATCATTAGATCAATAAACTCGGATGATTAAACAACCAAGATTTATAACGGTAAGAATAAAAAAAATTGAATAAGTATTTCCATTTATTTTGGTCTAAATAAAATATCATCTCTCACTGATTTTTATTTAATCCTATCATCTCATATAATACATTATCTCTTATTAATTTACCTTCATCATTAAAATAATTATTCAAATAGTCTTCATATATTATTTTCTTGTTTATTAATATCTTTTACTAATCAAAAAAATTATTCGGAGATTTTGCTATTTAATTCTATTAAGAAATAGTTATTATCAAAATTAATTTATGAGATTCATCGATATTATTTATATATTAACGTACTAAAAGTTCATTCATTATCAACATTTAGTTTATTCTTCGAATATTTATTATAGACACAAATTGATCTTAACCAACCGACAGCTTAGGCATATGCTGCTGAATTAATTAAATATTTAACTGAATATAATGAAACAGTTCTTATGCGATCATGTATAGCTATAATATAGCTTCATGTTAAATTGACTTCTTTTACATATAAAACACATGAAATATATTATGCGCGTGTGCTCGCATATGATTTACTTAGTGGAAATTTTGTTGAATTCTGTTATATTTGTAGGGAGATTTTATTTTATAACGTTTATTAATTAAAAAATTTATCCAAGTTCTTCATGAGATTAAAAAAAAAGTATAAACAGCAAAAATATGTCTTTTGAGATATACAGTTTGTACTGGCATTTTTATTTTAATGCTATATGTACATAGGATACTTGAATTATTGATCAAAACCTATTGAACCATTGAATAGAGAACTATGAATTCTGACAGTCTTGTTTATTTTGAAAATTTTATTAAAGATTCAAATGATAATAGTAATTGTCTGTAATGGACTTTCTTATAATAGAATTATTTGAACTGAAGACAATTTAGTTCAAACAATTTGTCAAAGAAAAGAAATAGAAAGAAGTCATGTATTGCTTTTTGATTTTCTTCCTAGCTTTTATGAATATGACGATTAAGACATCAATAAAAGTTTTTTTAATAAAAATAAAAGTAACCACATCAGCCAAGTTTCAAACGTTCTCGAGCACTGCAAAATAGTTTCCTAAAAGCTCCTTTCTAACTCAGTGCAGCATCACTTCTATCGGCACATAGCAAAAATGATAAGCAACGGCTATTTTACTGCATATTATGACGGAAAATAAGAAGTTTTATTTATTCTTTTTTCAAATATAAAAAATAAGGTCAATATTTACATGATGGTCACTAGCTATACACTTCTCCTCCACATACATTTAATATTACCATTCACGATCCTCGTCCTTTTCTATTATTGCGGCGAACAATCGTACTCAGTTGAACTATACCGTAAAGTCCAATTCCATTATCGCGAACATCCAGTGTGGTGAGTGTCTAGATGAAGAATTGAAATTAAAGACACAATATAAATAAAGAGAGAATGGGACTTACTGTGTTGTCTACCAATCCATCGCCCAGTTGTTGTGCTCCAATATCTCCAATTTGGTTACATTGGAGATCTAGTATGGTAAGTGTCTAGATGAATAAGTCGTGATCAAAACATGGCGTAGATAGAGAGAATGAGAATTACGTTGTTGTCTCGTAATCCATTGCCCAAATGTTGTGCTCCAATATCTCCAATTTTATTCCCTTGGAGATTCAATGTGGTGAGTGTCTAGATAAAATAGTAGAGGTAAAGACACGATATAAATAGAGAAAAAATGAGACTTACTTTGTTGTGCTGTAATGCATCACCCAAATATTGTGCCCCAGTACTTCCGATTTTATTCTCTTGGAGTTTCAATGTCATGAGTGTCTAGATAAAATAGTGAAGGTAAAGATACGACAGATAAAGAGAGAACAAGAATTACTGTGTTGTTTCGTAATCCATTACCCAAATGTTGTGCTCCAGTATCTCCGATTTTATTCCATTGGAGATTCAGTGTGGTGAGTGTCTAGATGAGAAAGTGGAGATCAAGACACAATATAAATAAAGAAAGAGCGAGACTTACTGTGTTGTGTTGTAATGCATCACCCAAATGTTTTGCTCCGATATCTCTAATTCTATTCCCCCAAAGATCTAGTATGATGAGTGTCTAGATAAATAAGTGGTGATCAAGATATCGCGTAGATAAAGAGAATGAGAATTACTGTGTTATGTCGTAATGCATTACCCAAATATTGTGCTCCAGTACCTCCGATGTTGTTCCATTGCAGATTCAATGTGGTGAGTGTCTACATGAATAAGTGGTGATCAAGATATCGCGTAGATAAAGAGAATGAGAATTACTGTATTATGTCGTAATCCATCACCCAAATGTTGTGCTCCAATATCTCCAATGTCATTACCTTGGAGATTCATTGTGGTTAGTGCCTAGATGAAAAAAGTGGAGGTAAAGATATGGTATAGATAAAGAGATTGAGAACTACTGTATTGTATTTTAGTGCGTCACGCAGATGTTGTGCTCCGGTATCTCCAATTTGATTATGGTGAAGATTTAGTGTGGTGAGTACCTAAATGAAAAAAGTGGAGATAAAGATATAGGGTAGGTAAAGGGAATGAGAACTACATTGTTGTGTCTTAATCCATCAGCCAAGTGTTGTGCACCAGCATGTTTAATTTCATTATGTTCGAGAGTCAGTGTGGTGAGTGTCTAGATGAAAAAAGTGCAGGTAAAGGCACAATACAAATAAAGCGACAGTGCGACTTACTGTGTTGTTTCTTAATCCATTACCAAAACGTTGTGCTTCAATATCTCTAATTCCTTTCCTCGAGAGATCTAGTGTGGTGAGTTGCTATATGAAAAAGTGTAGGTGAAGACATAATATTAATAAAGAAAGAATGAGAAGTACTGGATTGTGCCGCAATCCATTGATCAAATGAAGTTGTGCGAACCTCTCCGTTTTGATATCTCAAGAAGTTTAGTATGGTAAGAGTTTCGATAAAAAAGTGCAAGTGAAGATATAATACAGAGGAATGTATAGAGCATTTAGTCGCTGCTGTCTAGAATTATTTCAGAGAAATGAACGTTGTAGTGAGTCTGCTTGGAGGCTGCATAGATATGAGTTTGGATATTTCTATGATTTCAGATTCTATAGAGTGCTGAATAATATCGGATAGAAAGTTGAATTAAAAAGAAGTTACTTAGAAATACAAATGTTTAGGAATTTGTCATGTATCCGTAGCTATAAGTCTTAAATGTTTGCGAAAGATGGTAAAAATTGACCCTGGAGAAAATAATTGTGAGGTATTGCTTTATATGCCGAAAGCGCGATGTATTGTAACAAAGAGTTTAAAATCTAATAATGTAGTGTGGATCGCTTATTAGTATCCTAATGCTATGGGAAAAGATAGTTTCTTACTAGAAGTGGATGGTTGGGTTACTTATGTCTTCATTCATAATATTAGTTGTGTATTTTCTACAGAAACTTCGTGTGAGTTATCCAACGTTGATTTATCTATGGGTAGAATTTAGATCTGTGAGAATATCTATTGATTTCAATTGTTGCTTTTCATGGCGTTATCCAGCTGTGTGCATGAAAGAAGATTGGTTTATAAAGAGTGAAACAATTTATTTCATAAAATTGGAATTAGTATAAGAAGAAGTGGAACACGTACTGAAATGTGGCACAAAACTATCTCTGATAAACGGATTTTGATTTCATAATGTAATAAATTATCGTCGAAATTTCGTGCCTAAAAACTATAGCTGAGATGAAATGCGTTTTAGAGCAAATATTCTCAGCAAAAACTTGCTTGAGAAGCAGTATTCCTTGAGAAAAGGTTCTATATCAATGGTATTAGTGTGAATGATGTGATTGAATGAGACTGTGGATGGTGCTGTGTGACAATCTTCTCTCCATGCACATCAACCGTTACCTATACTCACAGTAGTTCATGTTCTCAGAGTATTTGTCGGAGATATTTCTCAAAGAAATTTCTGAGATGTTATGTATAATAAGATAAATTAGTTTGCAGACTGTTATTTTTTTTCAAGATCTAATATTTATTATCGAAATGATATTTAAAAAAAGATGGTTAGACACATGCAAAAAACAAATACCTATGCTTTGTCCCTTTTCATTCTATGTTTATGACATCATGCATAGTTTCAAATGTGTCATATATAGCTGAGATTGAAAAGAAAGAAAGACAAAAATTATTATTTAACATATTCTCATAATACAAAAAATGAATTTTTGGGGAGAGAGGAATAATTTTCGAATTATTTTAAGTGACATATTGTTTATTCATGTATACTCTATTGAAGTCAATCTATACTTGCATGGAGAAAGCAGAAATGAAAAATAACTTGAGCGTCAATTCATAAAAATTAAACTATCATGGTAGCAAAAAAATTTACCCGATATTGACCATAACTGTCTATGATCTTGTTGAACCGTTGACACACGTTTCTCATTGAGCATATAATTCTGAAATGGGATTGATGATCTAGAATTCGATAGACAAGTTCTACCGGTAACGTATGGAAGCTGACGACAGTGTGATTTGCCATTCTTAACTGTTGATGAAATGCGTGCTGCGTAGTTTTATATGTTAGCTGTATGTGTTTCTTTTCTTCCGATTAAATGAGTAGATGTTTGCTTTGTCATTCGCTTCACATGATGTTGCAATTACTTGTTGGAAGAAAAAAATAAAAAAGAATAATGTCATACTACAGAATGACAGAATCGACATAGCAACTGTACATAACATTTTTTAAGACTGTTTTATCGATATAAAATACTGTATAACGGACATAAATATTGTGTTCTCGGTTATAATCAGCACAGGCTAAATGGCTTTCTTTTTCACTTGTTTTTGTTCAATTGCTAGATTCTTTTAAAAATATTTAAAAAATGAAATATATCGAAGACTACATTATAATTGTTCGTAAAAACAACTGTAAATGTTATACTATTAGTTGTTCGAAAAGAAAACTAAAAAATGAAATGATTTTGTATGTCCATGTCTGAAATGAAAATTATTAATATTTGATTAGAATTATAGACAGACAATTCGAGTATTAAAAACGATACTCTATATATCTGCGGTATATACATCGAAAAAAACAGCTCTTTATCGAAATCTGATTATGATGCCAACAGCTAAAGAATAGTCAGGTATCACAATAAGATAACGCTTGATTTCATAATCACTGTATATAGTAATAACTTTTTGTTCTATTACTACTTTTGATATTCTAACTAAATTATGATCAAGACAAGACTGATTAATAATAATGAATAAGTTGAAATAATCTCAAGCTTGAAAATGTAAAGAATAATATTAATCTATGCGATCTATTGTTTCATGTTTCTTTCTTACGAGAGTCGATCAAGTCTCATATAATCCTCTTGAGAAGCTTTTTCTTGAATAGTACCTATCTGATATGGATTCATATAAGTATTGTTAAAATTGTTATAATATCACTAGTATTGACGCATAAGTCAAAAAAATATCAGTAGATTTAAATATAAGGATTAGTTTTTTTTCGAAATAATCTTTCCTTATAGAAAAATGACCAATTTACGATAAGTTTCTTAAAGCTTTCTGCTATAATTTTCCGTTAGGAGATGATTGGCTTGAGAAAATAATAGTATTTTATACAATATAATTAATCATCCATGAAGTTAAGGAATTGAAGTCTATTGATGAATTTTCAATATTTTTGAGTTTATGTCTTTCCTTAGACAATTCATATTCAGCAATCAGAGTAAGTCAAGAAGCAACGTGCAAGTTACGAGATGTGGGTGTAGGATATATATGTCAACCCACACCCTTTAATTGATATTACCCGAGACTATTATAATGGGTAAGATGTTTACAACTTCAAGTTCCTAGTAAATCTATTGTTACGAAAAGTAAACCGGAGTTGAGTAGAATAAGAATATGCGAATACAGAAGAAATTATTTATCTCACTCGTCCTTGTCCCTGTAGAAAAAAGGTTGTTTTTGTATAAGGTTATCTTATCTCTTGCAGCGAAAACAATCTAACATCTTCTTTCGCGGACTCACCTTACAGGAGATAAAGACAAACAACTCTTTATAAGAAACTTTTTCTTCGACTATTTTGCACATTTTTTTCTTCGTAAGTCGTTGTTTGTCGCATACTGGTGCGATCATTTGAAATATCGATATTAACAAAAACAAGCAAGGCATGGATGAAAGTTGGGTGTCATATCTATTTAGTAAGCTTAATTTTTAGTTGTATAATGTTTGTATTGATTCGATTTTTATTCGAAAAGACATGATAAACTGGTGTTCACATTCCCCAACATACATTGTTAATGGTAATGACGGTAGGCGATCAGATGCACGATTTATATATAATTAGAAAACATTTCATTTCTTTTTTTAGATATAGTAGCAATAGTGCCTCAAATGATTTCGGCGCAGAGTTATAGAATTCGCATGCAGCTTTACATGCTAGGGTAACAGAGTTTTAGTAGTAAAGACAATTAAACAAATACATACGATTTATTTTCTTTTAATTGCTAGCAAACTCTCGAATCCATATGTTGCAAAATTCTTCATTTATGAAAAAGTTAACCGAATTATAAACAATCTTCACAATTTGGCAGTAGGCTTTTCGGGCAATATACAACAGGCGGATAATCTGACACAATGGATACTCGAATTATTAATTAACTTACAAGTGTTCTACAATAATAAGAACGTATTCAGTGAAGATGAACTCACATTGTTGAAAGACTTTCGCGAAGAATTCATTTCGTTCGCAAAATATTTGAAAGACCTTTACGAAACTAATTTCCCTGTCGATCGATTCATACTGCAACGAAAATGGAGAAAATGTCAAAAGCTCATGCAGTCAATTATTGGAAATCATCTAGCTCGAGAAAATCATCATCGAATCGATTTTATTTTTAACTTTATTTCAAATATGGAATTTATCAAGTATGTTTTCAATTCTAAATCAGCATACAACGATGCAACCATCAAAGAGATTATCTTCGACTTGGATGAACTGATGAACGGTGAAGTCATCTGAATTTTGCGTCTATCTGCAAAAACGCATTAAATCGAACATCGCATCAACCAAATATATCAGACTGTTTTGTATATATTCGATGTCAGAGTTGTTTTGCTTTTACTGCCAATAAAAACGATACAGTACATATTTGAGCCTCGACATTCGTAAAACAGTTTACAAAGTATTTCTGTATTTTCCTTCGATAGAAAGAAGTAGATCTGGGTGTGAGTATTATACTTACACCCACACTCACACACATTGTTATAAAACATGTATAACGTTTTTACTACTACAGGACTGAAAGGATTAATTTAATTTATTTAAAGAAATGAATGAGAAGACTTTGATAAAAGAAAAATAATTGAATGTAAAACTTCCAAATAAGATATTTATTTATTTTTGTATATAACTTAATATTTTATTTGTATAGAAAAATGAATATAAAAAATAAATATATTAATTAAATGAATAAAGGAATAATAAATAATCTTCAATAATTTAAAGATAAACAATTCTATTTCTCTAAGATCTTATGTTGATTTAATCTACCACTTATTATCTAAATAATAAGAACACTTTAAAACGCCTACTAAAATACGAAAAGTACTTTAAAAGAACACACTTTTTGAACGAGATTTTTGTTGGATGATTTAGAAAAACAAAATTAGTCGTACAAGTTTTTTTGTTCCTAAAATAAAACCTAATAGTACACCCACCTGTCGGTATTTCTTCCTTTGAATAAGCTTATCTTAACTTGCATAGTGTTCAAAGTAGATGATTTATTCAAGCAATATGGCAATGATATTAATAGCAGAAGTAATATTAACTGAAGAAAAAAGAAAACAACATTAATTATATTAATTTTAGTTCCTATAATTATATCTGACATGTACTCTTTCATGGAAGACAAAATAAATTATTTAAAATAGTTTAATTTAAAAACTAAAATCATGACAACATAATATAATATTACGATATAGTTTTTAAGTAAATAAAAAAAAATTTATTTCAACAAGTATCATGTATCCAATTTATATTTGTTCAACGTTTCCATTTACATTTTAATGAAACGATGAAGTCAAAAGTGTAGAAAAAAATCAACTGACTTTTCTTTTTTTTCTTTGTTCAATGAAATTATAAAAAATATATGAAGACAACTAATTATGGTTTATTTAATCTTGACTCTCGACAATATCTCTTAATTGTTTCATATTTCTTTGTAGACAAAATGATAAAGTATATATTGCAAAACAATATTAATCATAAAGTTGATTATTTTTTAATAGAATTTTTTCATTGTAGTTGAATCCTTATTCTAAATAATATTAATTTATAGAAAACATTCAAATGATAAGGAAATTTTATCTATCTAGAAATTAAAATCCTATCTTTTAGTTTTTTCATTATTTCAATATAATTAATAAAATATTTTTCCCTTTTACAAAACAACATCGTGAATCATGAAAATAAGAAGAAAAAAAGTTGAAGGATAAAATTATCTTTTTTTCTTCTTCTTCTTCTTCCGACTTAATTAAAGTCTTTTACCATCATAACATTGTCTTTCATAAGATGAGAAATTTTTTTTTTTCTTATCTTTCGTGATATTAAAGAAAAGCAGCTTAACAACACGTTCATTTCTATGATAGATAATTAATAGGTGGAGAGAGGGAGAGGAAAAAAAAGAAGTTAGTTAAAAAAGAAACTGCGTAAGATGAAACCTCTATTTTTTTTCTCATGTAAAACATCACGAACAGAGTACTAAAAGAAAAACTTTTTTAGTAATAAAATTTTAAAACTAATAATTCTTTATCCAAGGTTATCTATGACATTGGGTTGTTTTTTCTAACGGAAAAGATTTATCTGACATTAATAATAATTTATACACAAAATGATTGTGTTCTTGAAAATCATCTTTATTAGAAAAAGAAAACTCAGTAGATTTAAATAAAAAAACAAATAAAAGATTATATCACGATATTGTTTTTTTTGTTGTCGATGATGGTATTGATGATAAAAATTTATTTGTTGTTAAAGTAAACAATTTTGTCCATGTTAATTCATGTTTTATTGTCCATTCATGTCCATTTTGATACATTAAATTTTTTAAACTTTCAAGAAATGATTCACAGATAACCTAAGAGAAAATAAACAGAGATATACATATACTGAGATTATGATTCTATTTCTTACATCTACATGATTTTGTGAAATTTTATATTCTAAATGTGATTCAGCTACACGACGAAATGATTCATTAAGAGCAGTTTCATTATTATTTGCTGTAGCAGTACGTGCGACCATTGTCATTATTAATTGATCAATTTTGTCTAGAATTTTATAACCATGTTGACTGTACACTTGTCTTGCTATTGCATCAGTATTAATCACTGATTCATTTTCACTAAATGTTAAATTATTACTTGGATCAAGATTAGCAAAATTTTGCCAATAGATTAATAGTGTTGAACTTTTTTTTAAGGCTCTAAATAAAAGAAAAGAAAAGATACATTCTATTCTATAATAGATAATTCTTACCTATCCATAATATCATCACCTAATTTTTTCATATTATTTTGCTTGACAGTAACCCAAACTTCTTTTAATTTTAATTTTTCGTCTGCAGTAAATATTGAATCATTATTTGTTTCTCCATTTTCAGCTGGTTTTATCGCTGCTGGTGGTCCAATTGATGGTGTACATCCCATAGTTTTTGTTTGTTAGATATCAAGCAGCTTACGCATATAAAAAGTCATAGACAGCGAACATTAATGCAAGAAGAAGAAGAAGAAGAAGAAAAAAGAGTAGATTTTTCTCTCTCGTACTTTCTCTGACTCTTCACTATTTTTCTTTTAACAATGTCTAATTGTAAAACGAATGCATAATGATGTTTTCCTTCTTCTCGTTTTCTATGAGAGAAGTCAGTTTTTTTACTATTTTCTTTTCCTACCATAATTTTTTTTTTCTTTTAGAGAGATATTTCTCATCCTGTCTCGTTATATAAAATGTGTAGATGAAAAGAATCTTATAAATAATCTTCTATAATATTCTAAGTATAAAACAGCTTCAGCTTTTTTTTCCTTTATTAAATAAAAACCTGATAGTATTAGAAGACTCAAAAAAATAAAGAGGGAGAGAGGGAGAAGAAGAAAAAAAAACAACAGATTATTGTCTTGAATTATATTACATATTCTCTCACTATATAGAAATAAAGAATGTTAATTAACGAAAGAATTTTGATTCTCTTATCTTGTCACAACAAAAAGAAAAGAAAACGTTATGACATAAAATATTCTCAATAAAAAAAAAGAAGAAGTAGTAGCGCCTTTTTCTAAAAATGCTAATTTATTGTCTAACTGTTTTAATATCATATACACAATGCCACCATTAAAAAAACCAAAAAAGAAAAAATCGAAAAAAAAGAAAAATGTCAATCAAAAATCATTTACAAATCCATCAATTATAAATGAAGAACAAAAAGAATTTTATTTAGATCAAATTAAATCCTTAGAAGTACGTTTAATCAAGTATGTTTACATTTGACTTGATTCACCTAAATTTTTATAACCAGCTTTTGTTAATTCAATACGTAAGTCATCATAGACACTTGCATCTTCAATTGTACTCGGTATACGAAATGATTTTCCATTGAGTAAAGCAGTTAAAGTATTTCGTGCTATTTTGCCTGATCGTGTTTTTGGTAAACGTTTAACCGTAATAAATTTTTTAAATGCTGCAACAGGACCTATTTGTTGTCGAACAGTTGCTACAATAGCCTTTTCAATTTCAGAAAAACTATAAAAATAAAAAAATATAATAAGTAATCAGATTTTCTTTAACTCACTTAGTATTTTCTTCCGCTTTGTTTAATACGATGAAAGCAAAAGGCTTTTGTCCTTTAACATCATCTTTTAAACCAATAACAGCACATTCAGATACTTTTCCACTTTCAACAATAGCTTGTTCAATATGTCCACCTGATAAACGATGTCCAGCAACATTTAATACATCATCAGCACGAGATGATGTTTCAATAAAACCATCTTGTGTTCGTATACCAACATCCATTGTATCATAATAACCTGGATATCTTGTAAAATAGAGTTCATGAAAGAGTTCATCATTTTTCCATAATGTTGTAAAACATCCGGGAGGTAATGGTAATTTAAGTACAATACGACCTAATTCATCATTTGAACATTCTTCTTCTTCTTTCGATTTATTATCCGAAGAAAATAAATGTAAATTATAACCAGGACATGGACGTCCAGCACAACCTGGTGGACCAAGATCCTTATTAAAAAAGAAAGAAAGAAAAAATACAAAGTTTTTTATTTATTTTTTGTTTTACTGGATTTTTCTCAAGACCTAAACAAACAGCTGTAACAGGCGCTCCTGTTTCTGTTTGCCAATAATGATCAATAACAGGTTTATTATGAAAGATTTCTCTTGCCCATAATAAAGTATCTCGATCACAATGTTCACCAGCAACAAATAAAGCTCGAAAATGTGCTAGTGGATATTTTGTTGCATGTTTATTATCCGGGTCATTTTGACGAATTATTCTTAATGCAGTTGGAGACCAAAATGAACTAACAACTTTATGATTATTTATTACACGAAAGAATGCTGATGCATCTGGAGTACCAATTGGTTTCCCTTCATATATAACTGTTGTTGATCCATTTAATAATGGACCATAACATCCGTAGGAATGACCAACAACCTTTAGGGAAAAAAAGAAAGGAGATTATATTTGATAGTTTTTACTCTAATAAAAAAATCTACCCATCCAAGATCAGCAGCAGACCACCAAACTTCTCCCGGATGAATATTATATAAATATTTCATTGTCCATTGTAATGTAACAGCATAACCACCAGTTGGACGAACAATAGCTTTTGGAGTACCTGTTGTTCCTTTATGAAAAAAAACAAGAAATTTCAATAGAATAAATAATTCAAATTATTTACCATACCAGATGTATAAAGTAAATAAAGTGGATGATTTGCTTCAACAGGTTCACAATCATGTTGATCACGTACACTATTCATAACATCATTCCAATCTCGATCTCTTCCTGAAATTAAATCAGCTTGTTTTCCTTCTGATCGATTAAATATAATACATTGTATTGATTCATTACTAACATCACTTTTTTTAATAGCTTCATCAACAATAGTCTTATAATTAATTGTACGTTCAGGTTCAAATCCAACATTGACTTAACAAAAAAATAAACAATATTTTAAAATAATCATTGTTTTTGTTTTGCTCACCAGAAATCACAACTTTAGGTTGAGAATGTTTAATTCTAACTGCTAATTCATTTGCACTGAATCCTCCAAATACAAGATTATGTATAGCACCAATACGAGCACACGCTAACATAGCAACAATAGCTTCAGGAATCATTGGCATATAAATTAAAACAACATCACCTTTTTTAATACCATATTTTTTACTTAAAACATTTGATAAAGTTTTAACTTGTTGTAAAAGTTGTTTATATGTAATATGAGTTACTTTACCAGTCATAGCTGAATCATGTATAATAGCTGTTTGATTTCCATGTGTTGGCATATGTCGATCAAGACAATTATATGTCATATTAAGTTGTCCATCTTGAAACCAATGTGGTCTAAGAAGATTATCTTTATCATAGGTTTTATTCCATTTTTTAAACCAGAAAAGTTTTTGAGCTTGTTCATTCCAGAATTTTTCGGGATGTTCGATACTTGATCGATAAATATTTGCATAAGTTGAACTACGACGAATAAATGTACGATACATAAAATAATCTATAAGAAAGATTTTATCTTATTTTAGATATGAAAAACGTTGTGATGAACTGGAATTAATGTGTCGATCATATGGTGATCAATTTGAAATCTTACTTAAAGATAAACATGATATATCCTCGTATTTAAAACAACAACTTGAATTACGTAATGAACAAGTATTTGATTTAAATCATCGTTTAATTGATTTACAACAAATGAAAGAAAATGAGAAAGATTTATTTGAAAAAACTTTACAAAATTTTAAAGAAAATTCTCAAACAGAAATTGAAAAACTTGAAAATGAAAATATGTTATTTAGTAAACTTTTTTTTTGTATTAAACTAATATTTTTCTTTTGATATTTAGAAACACGTTTAGTTGCATTAGAAGAATTTAAATATCAACGTCAAACAATGGAAACAACAATTGATGAATTAAAAGATTTAATTAAAAAAAAAGAAAATGCGTATAAAAATGCTTTAGAACAAATGGAAATAGCTTTAATTTTATTTAAAAATAGGTTAAGAGAAATATGTTTTTTCCATTTCAATTTTTCTCTTTTAAAGATTAAAAAATGAAGCAATACAATATTTAAATGATCTTGCTATTGAATTTCGTCAGAGTACAAAAAATCAAATATCAGATACAATCAAACGTACCATACGTGAAAATTTTTATTTAAATAATCAAATGGATTATTTAACAAATCAATTAGAAAAATCGATAGAAATTAATAAAAAATATACTGAAGATAATCAACAATTAACAAGAACAGTTGCAATTTTAGAAGATGTAGAAATACAATCAGCTAAAAAATATATTACAACAGAAAATGTATATTTAAAATTTATTAAAATTTGTTTTTTTAATTTGTTTTTTTTATTTATAGGTCATACGAATGTTATCTAATAAGTTAAAAGAATGTAAAGAAGAAAAAGAATGAATTAATTAACTTTTATAAAACAATTTCGAAGATCAGGATATTAAACAATAATAAGGAAACGCTTATTTTTAATTATATGAGATTTACCTCAAGTCATTACTTAACCTACGTCATTAAGTAAAATATTTTCGCAATGATAATCTTACCGAGACAGTGTTGATTACCTCAATACTATCAAGAGGTCAACACTCTTTACACGTATCGACGATAACCTGAGTCAAACGATAGTTTATATATTTTACCTTATTATAGGCCAATCAAAGGACAAAAATAGATATTTGATTCGGGTGACGATTGTATTTTCAAAACGATATCTTTCGAGGTATTCTCATATTTATCTAAAATGAATCGTTAACAAATGAGATATTCACAAAGTTTTATAAAAATGAAAATTATGCTATATTTAAATGATGAAAAATTCGTTTTTTCGAAATATAAAGCGACATACTATAAATATTTCTATTGGATATACACATTAGAACAGTAAAACAACGAATAGATATTTTACTATTCGAGAGGATTAGTAATCATTGAAACGAAATTGATTGATCAATTGAGATTGTCAAGTTAACTAACTTATCAGTGTGAGAAGAACAAAATATGTGTACATACAATATTTCTAGTTTTTTTGCTTTTGATTTCTGTTAATAAATGCACTACTTATTATCATAGGAAAAATTTCAGTAAAAATGCTTTTTGTAATAAAATAAAAATCGAAAGGCGCCTTCATTTTTCAATACCCATTATGTCATCACTAGTTAAACGACATAGAAGGTATATTAATACAAATACTAATACAGACACACCATCGACTAGTGATAGCACAAGTATATCAAATACAAGTTCATTTGAATTAAGTGAAAATTATAATAAATCAGTTCGACATTTATTTCTTGTTCGTCATGGTCAATATCAGCGACAACGAACAGAATCTGACGGACATTTGACTGATAAAGGACAGAAACAAGCATGGTATGCAGCTAATTTTCTTATATCACAATTACCAGATGATGTTTTATTTGATTCATTAACACATTCAGATAGTAAAAAAAAGAAAAACAATCATTAGTATTGTAGATTTCTATTTTTTTGCTAGTGATTCGTACACGTGAAACAGCAACAATTATTTATAAACAATTAAAATTAATGAAAAAAATTGATATTGAATATTTTTCAATTGATACTGATTTTCGTGAACATAATTTATTATTTGGATTTTTACTTGAAGGTAATTGGCATGCATTAAAACGTGATTATTTTCATTTAAAAAAAGAAACAATAAAAAATGCGAGAACAACATTTGAAATTATAGTTGCACATAGAAATATTATTGGTCATTGTATTGAATTACTTACAATGATTCAACCGGATAAATCTATTGCATTTAATGCTTCTATTACAGTTAAATATTAAGATATATTTTCATTTGACAAAAAATATTTCTTTCCTTTCTAGCATATTATTGTTGATGAAACAGATACAATTGTTGATTATGCATTTAAACATAATTTTATTCCTGTTGATCTTTTAACAATGTGGGAAATTTATCTTCCTATAGAACAATTTCAAAATCATGAACATAAATATATTCATTTTGATGTTAATGGTGTCAAAGGTTCAGAAAGAAAAGGTTGTTGTATACGTCTTTTTATTTCATGTCTTCGTTAATAAATTTTATTTTTTTTAATTATGAACCATACAATTGTTGAATATTTTCGAAAACATGTTTTATTGATTCTTTGTTATGCATAAAAAAGCCTTGTAATTGTGCAGCACTCAATGGTTTTGAATAATTATCTGTTAATTGTTCGATTTGTTTTAAGAATTCATTCATTTCATCACGAGTTAAGTGTGGATAGAAACGAATTAACATACGTTCAGTTTGATCAGCTGTTAAAGGACCTATATATTGTTTAAAATCGACTCGACCAGGACGAATAAGTGCTGGATCAAGGCTAAATAAAAGAATAGATTTGTTTTTCAAAAATATCAAAATAAAATAAATCATACCGATCAATATAATTAGTTGTCATAAATATAATTCTACCTTCAGTTGATATAACACCATCAAGTGAATTTAATAATCCACTTAATGTTAATGGTTTCATGCCTTGGAATCGAATAGCATCTATAGAAAATAATATATATAATATATATCAATATATTAAAATATTAACCTTCTTTTTCATAATGTCTTCCAACTGTTGCTGCATCAATATCTTCTAATAGAATAATACTTTCTTCAGGTACATTACTTAATAATTGTTGAAGACGATCATCAGTCATTGTACCTTGACTTAAATTAAGTGTACTAATACTTAAATCAAAATGTCCTAGATAAGAAAATATTTTTTGTAATAGAATTTAAAATATCAAATGAATAAAAACAAAAAACAACCTGCAAGAGCCATAATAGCTGATGTTTTTCCAGAACCTGGTGGTCCATGAAGAAGATAACCACGTCGATATGGTATACCACGATCAATATACCAATGTGGATTTGCAAGAAAATGATCAACATCATTTATTAAATTTTCAAGAATACCTTTATCAAGTATAACTGAATTCAATGGTCTTTTACGTCTTGGTTGACCAAATAGACGCCATTCATTAACTAAAGTAATTTTCTTATTGATATCAAATTTGTCTTTCACTCACTTGTTGGAATATAAACAAGTGTTTTGCCTTCATTCGCTAATAATGCAGAATCACGAGCTTTTTCTAACATATCAATATAAATTTGTCGATCTTGTCCAAATGCTGTTAATTGTACAGATTCAAATGGTACACCAGAATTAATCATTTGTTCACGTGTACGTTCAACTTTAATAAATTTTCCTTGATAACGAAAATAATGTGTACCAACAGATGGCACAAATGTATACGATGCTTGAATACGTGATGATGGATCATCATTTTTTATTAATGTTGTACGAGCACTTAAATGACGACTTGAATCACGTAATTGATGTGATATCCATTGTAATAACCAACTATAACTTATATCATTATTTGGTACTTCAAGAGTTATCATAAATTGACGACGAAAAAATATTAAACCATATTGAGATGTACGACGAAAAACAGCTAAAGCTGTACCTATACCAATTAAACCAGCACCAGCACCAAAATATGGATTCGCTGAAAGTGATGTTATTAAATCTGACAACATTTAATAAATATCAAATTATAAGTGTTCAAAAGAATATTTCATCATCATATAAGTATGAATAGAATGAATGAAGATAAGAATAATTGGATTGCATGATGTATTTGCCAATAGAATAAACCAGAACGAGAAAAAAATAATAATTTTGATAGAGAACACTTATTGACAGTATGGTTGTTATAATAGTTATGCCTTAATAATAATAAAAAGATAAACTATCTAGTGATAATTATCAATAAATGTATGCTTATCAGGTATAGACTACTTAATTGATCATATATCTATGAAAACGTAATGAATATAAGTTAATTGAGAAAATTGTTTCCACATCTAATAAAATAATGATATTATAATTTTGTTCAATAGTACTGTAGATATGCAGTAATATATTCTTATGAAATAGAGATTAAAAAATATTGCATTGATTATACAGACATTATTATCGAGTGTGAGTAAGGATATTCTGTGTTCTCCACAACTATCCACACTCTAAAAATCTAGTCGATGCAATAAATGAGTGTTTTCGATATAAATAAAAGCATTTCGTCGTTTTTCTTTATTTATTTTGAAATAAAAAAAAGAAAAATGTATGGTATAAGTGAGCATCAAGCAATGGCACTGATCCATACTTTTAATTCGATTCAGTTCATAGTTAGTCGATAGTTGGTGCTACAGCTACATCTTTGTAGCCTCCTCGCTTCCAGTCAGCACTAAGATTGCCTTTTCCGATGATGTTGCAGAACAGGCGATTTCCTGCTTCTTGAATTTCAATATCATTATGATCAAGTAAGTTTTGGTTCACATAATCAAGAATATTCTTTTGTTGTTTCATAATTTCATGTTCGGATACCGCGATGTTAGCCATCAGATGGAGAACAGTTAAAACACATGTTTTGTCTTCAAATTGCACAGCTCGTTTGAGGAGCAGCATCAGTTGATTTAACACTTCAGAAGAAATAAGTGCCTTTCGAACATGAGTAATAACTGCTGCCATATTAGTTAATACACCGCAAGCACGCCATGAGACATCGGTATAACCTGATTGCAACGATTCTATCAGCAATTTCCAATGGAAAATTAGGTGAACGTACAGCTCCGGGCTACGGTCTCGTTGTCCTATTTGCCAGAGTGCACGAAGAAAAAGAATGCGAACAGTTTCATTCGGATGTTTCAATAATGTTCCAATCTGACCGTTAGACAAAGTAGCCAACAATGACGACGCAATTCTGCTTTCTAACAGTAAGTTGTTTTTAGCAGTATCACCAATAAATCTCAATGCTTCTTTGCATTGATTTTCGGTACCGGTCAATGCTTGATGAATGGCATACAAGTCAGGGAACATGGGATTCATTGTTTTTATGTAATTAAGTAATACATCTTCTGACGAGTTGTTGATGTCAAGGAATTCATAATCGATAATACAAAGAGGATAGCATTGATCTGATCTATAAATAGCCCATTCTTGACTGACAATACCTTCCTGATGATTGTTATAGTAAATCGTGTCATAACCACGTTCGTGGCCGATAGAAGGAGTAAGCTTAAGTTCAGACACATCTTTTTCTTCAATGCGACCAAGAATACAATCAGCAAGAACAAGAGTATTTTTACCGTATTCTGTCGCTTTTTTAGCCTCTGCGAAATAAATGGCTGTACCAAATTTTAGTTCTCCTTCGCTTTCATCTTCAGAATTTCTGTTAAAACTCTCAGGAATACGGAAACCTTGGCCACTGATGGAAAGTGCAGCCTTGCGTGTGGTTCCATGTAACAAAGTAATGATTTCATGTGAGTTAATCGTTTGTTTGCATTTATCAAAATTAGCTTTTAGTCGAGGATTCGATACCATTTGAACAGATTTAATATGAAGCCTTTGGTTTGGAGAACCATGACGAGAGTAAGATTCCTGTACGAATTTGATCACTTTTTGATTAATTTCCGCCTCATTACTGCTTAATTTTGAAGTAATATGATGAAGTACACGGTCGAACCAGATATCAGCCCAATCCTGTGGAACCTCGTATGATTCTCGGCATTCTGGACAAGTAATGTTCCATGATGATCCTATTAGTTCTTCAGTACATTCTTGACAAAGACGATGTTTACCCTTGCAGGGTAAAATCATTGGATGATCAAGAAGACCACGATGAATAACGCATGTTAAGTGTTCTTGAAGATCAGCATTTAAACCAATTGCCGATGCTATAAATCCGTTTGCCATTATTTCTGGAAATAGAGAATAAACGATTAGTTAAGTGAGATTTATTCTACTTTGTTCAAATTAGTTGCTATTAAATATATATCAGTACAGTATCAAGTAGACTCGTGAAGATGTTCGCAAACTAATGATAAATCGTATATATCAATGTATTGTGTGAATGTTACCTATAAGATGTATATCGCTATTTATTTTAAGTGAGAACATGTATATGGAACAACTAGTTAGAGTGAATGAAGCTATGATTGTGACGAACATGTTCGTTTGCTAGCCATACCAATACAGTCATGCTTTCAGGTGAAAATAGTTAGGAATACAAGTGTATACGTATGTGATAATTATAGAATGGTTCTCGCACAGTAATGTCATTTTCTTAAGAAGTGTTCAAAACAACAACGTAGCCTTAGTTTTATTGATTTATATCACCGTATTATTATGTTAAAAAACAACCACTCACGTATTTACTGTTGTTTTAATTGATTGAAAATAATATTCTGCCTTTGTAGGTTTTATTTCTTATTATGACGTTTCGACAACGATGTTGTTTTTATCAGACAGTGAACAACATGATAGAATGGCTAGCACGCTTGTACATACTCAACGTATTCTCTCTCTCTCATGTTTTTTTTCTGCTCTTTTTTTACAGTGGGACGGCAAGACGATGATATTGGTAGAAGTACCTAATTCCCCCCTTCTACGGTCCCACTATCTAAAAATGAAAAGAAAGAACAAAGGAAGAAAAACATGAGAGAGAGAGGATATGCTGAGTATTTACATGCATGCTAGTCATTCTATCATGTTGTTCACTGCCTGATAAAAACAACATCGTTGTCGAAACATCGCGATAAGAAATAAAATCAACCAAGGAAGAGTATCATTTTCAATTAATTACTGCTTTTTCCATTTAAAGACAAATAATTCTTATCAAGGTTTCATTGAAAAAAAATCAAGAACAGACAAAATGATGCAAATTTTTGTAAAAGATATTAGTGATAGAACAATGATTATAACGGTAACATCAGAAGTCTTTAAATATTACTTTTTTATTTATGACTATTGTAGGTTGAAGCAGAGGATTTGATTAGCAGAATGAAAGAGAAAATTTGTGAGCAAAATGGAATACCTGTGTCTGAACAACGACTCATGTGGGCAGGCAAACAACTCAGTGATGATAAGACAATAGAATTTTACACACTTCAAGACGGAAATACTGTGTTTCTTGTTTTACGACTCAAAGGAGGCTTAACTATTGATTAAAAAATGTAAACACTAATTATTGAATAAATCAGAAATTAAAATCTCTCGTCTTAATTTAAATTTACAACGGATAATCTTGATAAATGCCAATATCATCTTCGAGTCACTTATTTTTAGATCTTACATAATATAGTGATCTTTTCACGTAAAAGAAGTAAGTGGAGTTTAAAAGAACATATGCTTCAATGCGGATTAGGATAATAAGGATAGATATTTTTATTCTTGTTATAATTAAAAAATAACCATTCTAAACATCATACGTTTGTTATTAACAAACTAGGGGTGGATGTGGGGAGCGTGTAGGTATAGAAGGAATCTACATACACCCACACCTTCAAATATAAATCAGTTACACGAAATATTCAGAAAATGCTTCTGTTGCTGCATATATATATAATTTATTGTAAAATCTAATAAGTAGACATACATATTTTATTAAAAAACAGAATATATCTTTCACCAAACAAATCGGAAAAGTATTTCTTTTTCTTTTTAAAGTAAATCACAAACGTCACACATCAGATAACTTTTGAAACAACAAGAAGATCAAATTGAAAGAGATTATTAATTTCAAGTCATGGAATATAAAAAATTCTGTAGCTTATTTCGATTTTTTCTATATATTGTATAACATTTTATAAGAATAGGATTAAATATTTTTTAGACAAAATCACAATCATAATTTTATATTGTTACATAGTTATATCTTTCTCTCTCATATATTTCTTTCTATTCTCTCATATAGATCTCTTTTTTTCTCTCTGGTACATATCTTGTGTCTCTTGCGTACATCAGGTTCTTATGTTCCTGTCTGACCTTTTTGGACCTCGATCCATTGTCAATCAAATAAATAATATAAACTTCAAATTCTTTTTTAAATTGATGATAAAAAAATAATCATTATGTAATGAATTGTAACCGTTTCAATCATAATTTATCGATAACTAGAATTTTTTTTTGTAAACTGCAATATTGTTTTATAAAATTATATTAGTAAAAGTACATATTTTATGTATCTTTTTAATAAAAAAAATTTTATATTTTTCTAGTTCAATAATTTCTATACATACACAATAAATAGTTATGATTGTTCGTAGATGTAACATTTTAAATAACGTCTGCATAATAAATAAACACGTGATACAAATATATTTAAGAAAGAAAAAAAATATATATCATAGATGTTTTATTTGAAGACTAATGTGGAAAACTAATAAATCAGAAGCATAAAAAAATATTAGACGTTAATCATATGATACGGTAAGAATATACAAGTATATAGTATATTCAAATAAAAATAATAATAACAATATTCTAAGGAAAGGGTTGGCCAGTCGATGATTGTATTTGTACAGTTTTTTAATATTTTAAGAGAAAGTAAGAGTGTTAATTAGTAGACGCACTGAGTGAGCATGTATATTTATTTATTAATCATCGTTTGATTTTCATAATAAGTAAATTATTAGGGTCAATAATGAAAAATACCTTGAATATTCGCTTTATCAAACACACTATAAAAACCTTATACGATTTTGATTTTAAACTTCATTTTGTTTTCTTTTTAAAATCATCAATCATAAATATTTTTCTAATTGATATTAGAAAAAAGAAAAAAATATGGCAACTACTACGATAACTATTAGTACCACCACAACTGCAAGTACTACACTTGTTTTCGATTCTGGTGATAACGCATGGATGATGGTATCAACAGCATTTGTTCTAATGATGACACCCGCTTTAGCTTTTTTTTATGGTGGTCTTGTTGATAGAAAAAATATCCTGAATCAACTATTTCTATCATTTGTTTGTATGGGAATTGTATTTGTTCAATGGATTCTATTTGGATTCTCATTTGCATTTGGTTCACCAGTTAGCGCTGGTTTTGGTTCATTTGCTGATTCAGCATTAAGATTTGGACAACGTTTAGATGATTTCTATAGTCCATCTTATCCATTATTAACATATGCAGCATATCAAGGAACATTTGCAATTATTACACCAGCACTTATATCAGGTTTATTAGAAAATGAAAAATATATATGATGTCTAGAATTATTTTTTCTATCTAATAGGAGCAATTGTTGGAAGAATGAAAGTAATTCCTTATATGATATTTATAGTAATATGGACAACTTGTTGTTATGATCCATTGGCACATTGGGTTTGGGGTAGTAATGGATGGTTAAAACATTTAGGAACACTAGATTTTGCTGGTGGAACAGTTGTACATATATCATCTGGTGTATCTGGTTATGTTGCTTCAGCAATCTTAGGAAAACGTGTTGATTATAAACCACATGCATCCAATGCACATAATATTCCATTTACAGTTCTTGGTACATGTTTATTATGGGTTGGTTGGACTGGATTTAATGCTGGTTCAGCTAATATAGCAAGGTCTGTTATTCTTTTTTATATTTAATTGAAATAAATGACTTATATATATTTTATTTTATTTTAGTGGTTTAGCATCATTAGCATTAGTAAATACATATGTAGCTGCAGCTGCTGGATTAGTAACATGGGTTGTGATTGATGCTATTCGTGGTCAAGTATCAGTATCTGGTGCATGTATTGGTCCAGTTGTTGGTTTAGTTGGTATCACACCAGCATGTGGTTTTGTTCAACCTGGTTGGGCATTATTATTTGGAATAATTCCAACAATTATTATTTATTTTCTTCTTCTTTATAAACATCATTCGATATTTGATGATACTTTAGATGTTGCTGTGGTTCATGGTTGTGGTATGTTATTAGAAAGAAAGAAAGATTTTTAAGAAATTATATAAAAAAAACGTATTTTGGTTTTAGGTGGAATTATTGGTGCATTTATGACAGGATTATTTTGTTAGTTATCAAATAATCCAGGTGGTGCTGATGGAGCTTTCTATGGACATCCAATTCAAATGTGGTATCAAATAGCTGGAATATTAACTGCTATTGGCATGTTGATTAAAGATTAGTTATAAATAAATTAGATTTATTTGTTTATCTATTTATAGGTTTTGCTAGTGTATGTACAGCTGGAATTCTTCTTCCATTAAAATATACAATTGGAATTCGTTTATCACCTGACGAAGAGTTGAGAGGACTTGATTGGATTGGTAAAATAATTATTTTCTTAATAAATCTATTTTATATCTTATTTAGCTCATGGTGAAAAATGGTCACACAATGACAAACCAGGTCAAACAGTAACAACAACAACTGGAATACCAGGGAATAAACTTAAATATGCACCATATACAATTCAAAATAATTGGAAACCAAATAGAATTGCATCTCGTTCACGATCTATTCGTAAACCAAATAGTTTAGGTCAACTTCGATCAACTATATCACAAAGTAGATATAATGCATCTCAATCACAAGCAGCACAATCCGACAAAAATATTCAACCATCTTATACATATAACTCATCTTTACCAGTTTAAATTCAAAACTATTTTTTTTTTATTTAATCATCTTTTAAATTTTTATTAGAAATTGTAATTATTTTTATTTTTATAACTATCATTTATTTTATTTTAATAAATATTGAAAACAAAAATACCTATATTTATATATTGTTTCAAATCAAATGAATGCAAAAATATCTGTTATCTGACAAAGAGAATTTTACAAAAAAATAGTCAAAAGTTTTTTTTTCATTTACTTAGTGAATATATATGATCATAACTGCGTAAAAGTTGATTTTATTTTCATTCCATATAATTTGTTTACAATCATAAAATATTTCGAAATATAATTTTTGTTTTTGAAATTATCTATAAATAATATTGTCTAATTAGTTATATATTTATTAATCATCGACTATCGTTGTTTTTAAAGAAAAAAATCAGACGAACACTTGTTTTATTAATCATCATAGTTAATATAATTGCGTTTGAATAAAGTATGATGATTAATGAGTACAAATGATGTTTTCTAATAATTAAGATCCTCCATTTACAGAATATTTTGATTAAAATAAGTAAGATATTCTTTTTGCTAAAGCGTTATCTACTTCATCGAATAGAAAAAAAATTCGCAAGAGAAACCATGACATCTCATTTATATTGGTTTTTTTTGAGTACTTAATATTGATCATCTACGATTGATGATAACGGGTACTGATCGTTATTTATGTAATAGTAATAAAAAAAACCATCATTTTATCGCTGCTGTCTTTTTAACAATATACAGATGAAAAACAAATTATATGACGATTACATAAAGAAAACGCGCAAAGACTTCAAAGAATTTATATGAAAAGAAAAAAAACATTTCGAATCTCTAATAAATTATAAGTCGATGTTCTTAGGTTTAAAATCATGATAAATTATTTGTTCGTGTTATTATTAAATCATATTCTATAATTCTAGATTTATTTGGATAAAAATACAGTAACGTGTAAGAGTCTTTGTCCTGCACATAAATCAACTTTCTGCACGTATATCTCTGTATGTTTCGGGAGAGATTTTTCAAGAACGTTCTACAAGATAGGATAAGATCTATATATCGTTATGTAAATTGTAAAATCAATCGATACTAGCGCTTGTAGAAAGTTCATAATTCTAAACATTAGAATGAATGACTAATTGTCGAATTGTTTCGATGTTAATCGAGTGAAAAACCTGCGGTAAATCCTCAAACGTTGTGTTCAGAATCGAATACCATCATGTCGCAGTGAAGTAGAGAGATTTCTGTGCAAGAAATAGTAAAAACTCGACTTGGTCGTTGTGGGTGTAGGTGTGGTATGGGTGTATCTACTTTATCTTCATCCACACTCACACCCACACCCACATCCTCAAGTCCTCCTGTGTACCCTTCTGGACATCCGCATTCAGCTGCTTCCCTCCTTTGCACTTTTCCATGCACCAATAGTTCAAAAGTTGAATAGCTGGAAGCTCGTACTATTAAATTTAAAAGTTGAATAGTTGACCGAATAGTTCGATTCAACTTTCTACTGTTACATGTATGGTGACATAAGAATAACACTCACACCCACACCCTCAAGCTAACATTCTTGTGCGAGAAAAGCAATAAATAGTCTTTTCTTTTTTTTGTGGCCATGTCCTCTTTATTAGAAGTCGGAAGCACTGCAAGTGACTAGCTCAATAGATAAGTAAAGGGTGGTGTGTGATAATCTTTTTATTGCAAAAAACTCAGCACTATATATATTGCATACGAACAAGTGTAAAGCTGAACAATGACTAGGCAGTATCACAAAGAAAAACTGTAGTAACGAGAAAGATAATGAAATGATAACAATAAGAGAAAGAAGAAAATGAGAAAACAGAACTTGAAAAATGTGAAGATAATAGAAAGAATATATGTGTATAGAACAGAAACAGAAGATATAGGTTAAAAGAAGAAGCGGACGATATACATCATCCATTAACATTTCTATTAAAAGTTATCATAGTTTCAGTTTTATTATCGTACATCGAAGTTTTTATGTGCAATGTGTTTCATGTCAACATAAAAACCAATTATGTTTGGATCAGTGGTGTTATTGTAGCACGTCTACCTTTGCACTTTTTAATACAAACCATAATGAACTCAACCAAATATGGTACCATCAGTTTCAATACTGTAATCAAACCACCAACTAATCCGATCAGAGTTGTAACAATGTATATTACACTATTCTTCGTCGAAATAGTATAACTGCAGCTTGATGGTTGACATTCACTATAATAATTTTCATAAATGCTTGACGAGTTCCATTTTTCAACCATTAATTGTTCAAGAAGATCTGTAATTGTGGAATTTTCCAAAAACTGACTCGGCAATGATATATCAAGAGCTGTCACATTCATAAGTGAAGATACTTGAAAATATGACTGTAATTTATTGATGCAGGTTTGATTATAAAAACATTGAAGACTAGACTGAAGTAATGATTCAATTATATAACATCCTGTATAAAGACCCGGAACATCAAATAACAGCGTGTTGTTCGACAGATCGTAAAATACAAATTGAGTAATGCATGTAGCTGATGAAGAACACGTACAACTACCGTACGACCGTGGATATCGATATACAATACCGGACGCTCTATAAAGTACGTAATTACTTAGTTCTCCAGAGAGTAAACCATTGCTTTGAGTTGTATTTCGTAGCATGGAAAGTGATAACAAAAAGTCATTAGTTGTTGATGATACGAATTGAGAAATAAATGCTTCGGTTTGTAGTTTAAATACATTTTCAGGTGTCACAGATGCACTTACATATTGACTTGAATAGAATTGAATTAAACGATTCGATATTGTTTGATTCACTAGTGTACAGAATGCGTTTATAGTTTGAAATACATATGTACCTGACGATCGAAAGTCATCTGTATGTTCGCTATAGTTTCCACTCGAGGCGTCAAGATAATCGATCCATTTTTGTGTAACGAAATCACTATGACATATTTGATGTAGTGTATATGGGATTTGAATAAATTTCCTATAGTTGATTGATATTTGGGTACACCCACATGTTAATGTTTGGCCATATGACTTATAGAGTTGTTTGTAATCTTTGATAGAAGGTGCTTTGATATTAACTGTTTCTAGAATATTGATTAATGAAATATATAAAAGAAGAATTGTCAATGATATAATCAATAAGAAGATCAGTAATCTTGTTGAAATGCGTTGATTTCGAAGTCGATATTCATCGATAGTTGGTGGAACAGATGAAAATAAATTGAGATTTAAAATGAAAAGCTTCTTTTTTTGGTAGAATATTCGAACGCGTTCATTGGTATTCATCACTTGAAAAGAATTACAAAAATAGAAATTTAGCTTATATAGTAGAAAAAATGATTAAAATCTGTGCAAAAAGATTTATAAGGAGTATTGATGTATAGCACTAACAATTCGATTCGTACCGCACCATTCAATAGGCTATAACAGATATTAAGTGCACGATGACGATCCAGATGATTGAGTAAATATATGGGTGTGGGTATCGGTACACAAAGAGAGAAGACTGATAACCCTCCATCTACATCCACACCCGAATAATTAACATAGGGTATTGTACTAATCATGGGATATATATCTCAATCCTTACCCTGGCTCATCTGCTCATAAATAATCTGATAATGTCTCGGAAGTTTAATAAAAGTACAAATATCGATGGTATTAGTGTGTTGTTGAAGGAGAAATGAACACGTTTACTTCTCACATTATAACCTTCTATTATGTACACAAAACTATTTTCAATTTGATCTTACCTGTGCCTGCTCTTTGGAATTCCTTTTTTCTTCTAACCAACTTGACTAAATTTGGTACCACAAATTTCAATACTGTAATCAAACCACCAACTAATCCGATCAGAGTTGTAACAATGTATATTACACTATTCTTCGTCGTAACAGTATAACTACAGCTTGATGGTTGACATTCACTATAATAATTTTCATAAATGCTTGACGAGTTCCATTTTTCAACCATTAATTGTTCAAGAAGATCTGCAATTGTGGAATTTTCCAAAAACTGACTCGGCAATGATATATCAAGAGCTGTCACATTCATAAGTGAAGATACTTGAAAATATGACTGTAATTTATTGATGCAGGTTTGATTATAAAAACATTGAAGACTAGACTGAAGTAATGATTCAATTATATAACATCCTGTATAAAGACCCGGAACATCAAATAACAGCGTGTTGTTCGACAGATCGTAAATTACAGATTCAGTAATGCACATAGGTGAAGAAATACATGAACAATTACCGTATTGGCGTGGTTTTGCAGCTAGATAAATATCACCTAATGCATAGATGTTGTTGTCTAATGCATATATGTCATAATTATTTAGTTCTCCAGAGAGTAAACCATTGCTTTGAGTTATGTTTAGTATCATGGAAAGCGATAGTAAAAAGTTTTCATTCGTTGATGATATAAATTGAGAAATAAATGCTTCGGTTTGTGGTTTAAATACACTCGAAGGTATCACAGATGCGCTTACATACTGGCTAGAATTGAATTGAATTAAACGATTCGATATTGTTTGATTCACTAGTGTACAGAATGCGCTCATAGCTTGGAATGTGAAGGTGCCCCTCATCCGAAAGTCGTCCTGATTTAGTACATTGTTTCCAGGCGAGGTAATAAGATAATCGATCCATTTTTGTGTAACAAAATCACTATGACATATTTGATGTAATGTGTATTGAATTTGAATAAATTTCCTATAGTTGATTGATATTTGTGTGCAGTCACATGCTAATGTTTCACTATATGAGTTGTAGAGTTCTGTATATTCTTTGATAGAAGGTGTTTTAACATTAACTGTTTCTGTAATATTTATCAGTGACGTATATGCAAGAAGAATAAATAAAGATATAGTCAATAAAACGAGAAATAATCTTGTTGAAATGCGTTGATTTCGAAGTTGATGTTCATCGGTAGCTGGTGGAACAGATGGAAAGATATTGAATTTTGAAAAATAATGCTTTGATTTGTATAATATATTGTATTTCGGTTCTCGTACCAATGTTTCTTAAAAAAGGAAGAGTATTAGAAATTTTATAGTGATAGAATATAAAAAGTAATCTACGCAATCCTCCTTTTATTATGATATTTTGAACTCTTAACAGATTATCAATCTTTCAAATTATTTGATTGAAGTTGATTGTAATGTATCTCTAGTTTATTTTAGCTATAAAATATATATTACAGTACATTCCTTTTACATCACGGCAAAAAAGTGATATTCTGTTAATTAAATTTGCTCTGCCGTGTTCATACTTTTAGACAGTTACCAATACTGGTATAATAAATAATTATTCTCTGTAAATTTTAGATATCATATGTAAATCATGTAGGATCTGGATATATATATATACATTATAGAGTAAGAAAAACAATTCGTCATGGACTACAAATTTTGCATCGTTTTCTCTCCAAATATATGTCCGATGCCAATAAGACTAGAAAGAACACCTTTATCTTAGAGCAGTGTGAGAATAGAATACTATTGCCTTTAATATAAATGATAGTATTTACATCTAAGGATAGAAGTGAACTTTTATGTATATGGTAGTATTTTGGGGAAACAGATTATACGTTAATTATCGGATATCAAAAAAGTGTAAGTCGGTTGGTTTGAAGTTACCTTATCGGATACTTCTCTTTTGTTTTTTTCGATGGTTGACTTTACTAGCCTAAATAAAGAATACTGTCAATAAACCATCCGTTAATCTATAACTCTTGCAAATACTTAGATCATCAACTATGTGTGAATTAGAAGTCGAGTTCACTAAAGGACGGAGTACAATAAAAATGATGCAACTCGCGAATATATCTGACAAAGACTAAGATTAAACAGTTATGTTTAATTTAACATAAAATAGAACAGTAGCTAATCATGACACTAGATATAGATGTTCACTGAGCTGCATACACTTAGTGTATCATTGCTTCAAATATAGTAAAGTTTATATACGAGAGTAAGATGAGAAGAAATGAACACAGAACTGAGCAATAGAGAAATAATACGAAGGAAAAGAAGAGAGAAAGATAACATTAAAAGTACAATACACCTTTGCATTCACGAGTATAAGCTTCAGTCAGATCTTTTACAAATATTTTCATGAAAACATTAGTTTTCATGTATGAAATTTTTAACAAAAAGCATTTCGTGTTTTTTTCACATCGTCGTTCACTAGTTCAGAAAAACTCAATTTCTGCAGACTATAGATCAGAGAATGGCTATTGAATCATGTATGTTCATGATAGAGATATTCTAAACTTTTGCTATTTTGCCCATACAATTATTTTATGCAATAGTGAGTATCACTTGCGAAATACTTGTTTTGCAGTATGTTACTAAATGTATTGGAATGACGTTCTCATCTGTTTCAACATCATCTCTTCTTTTTTCGCTGCATTCTATTGGTTGGATGCGAATACATTCTGTATATAACACTGTTCCAGCTATTTTCATCTCTTACCGGCTTCTGTTTTTACTTCTTTGTGTACGCATTTCCTTGCGAACTTGACTAACATGGGCACCGCAAGTTTCAGTACTGTAATCAAACCCCCAACTAATCCAATCAGAGTTGTAATAATGTATATTATACTATTCTTCGTCGTAACAGTATAACTACAGCCTGACGGTTGACATTCATTGTAATAATTCTCATACATGCTTGATGAATTCCAATCTTCAACCATTAATTGTTCAAGAACATCTGCAATTGTTGAGTTTTCCAAATACTGGATCGACAATGATATATCCAGAGCTGTCACATTTATAACTGTAGATGATCCCAAGTATAATATTATGTTATCTATGCAGGCTTGATCGTAAAAACATTGAAGACTAGACTGAAGTAATGATTCAATTATATAACATCCAGTATAAAGACCTGGCAAAGAAAATAATTCCGCAAAGCCTGGATAAAACACAACTTCATATTGATAAATGCATGTAGCTGATGAAGAACAGGTACAATCATCGTACCGCCGAGATTGCGAAAATAATTTTTCGCCATTAATAGAATAGAATCTGTAATTAGTTAACTGCCCAGAGAGCAAAGCGTTGCTTTGAGTTGTTTTTCGTATCATGGCGAGTGATAATAAAAACTCACTGGTAGTTGATGATACGAATTGAGAAATAAATGCTTCAGTTTGTAGTTTAAATACATTTTCAGGTGTCACAGATGCACTTACATATTGACTTGAATAGAATTGAATTAAACGATTCGATATTGTGTCATCAACCAAAACACAAAGTGTATATAAGGCTTGAAATAAAAATGTGCCCGTCACTCGAAAAGTATCATAAAATTTTCCATCGTTTCCGGGCGAGGTGGCAAGATAATAAAACCATTCTTGTGTAACAAAGTCACTATGACATATTTGATGTAATGTGTATTGAATTTGAATAAATTTCTTATAGTTGATTGATATTTGTGTACATTCACATGCTAATGTTTCACTATATGAGTTGTAGAGTTCTGTATATTCTTTGATAGAAGGTGTTTTGACATTAACTATTTCTGTAATATTTATCAGTGATGTATATAAGAGAAGGATACATAATGATATAGTCAATAAAAAGATAAATAATCTTGTTGAAATGCGTTGATTTCGAAGTCGATATTCATCGATAGTTGTTGGACGAGAGGGAAATAAATTGAGATTTAGAAAAGAAAGCTCTACTTTTTCACGTAATTCAGAAGCAGATTTTGTGTTGGTTGGCACTAGAACAAAACATATAAGTAGTTTAACTATTAGTTTAAGGGAAAGCAGCAATTTTGTCAAAACTATGTGGGAGAGTATTTCAATTTAGGTAGGATTGAAGTTCACTTCAATACTAACTCCAATAAGTAACATGTTTATAAAATAATGCTATGAATGTGTTTAGATATTTATGAATAATACTTCAATATGGTAGTATCGAATATAGTGTCAACATTTTAACAATAGTATCCATACTAAACTAACAAATGACGCTCGTCTAAAGAGTCGTTCAGCTCTTTCTCGTAGTAATCGCGTTACTAAAAAACTACCAGGCCATTGATTTATATATTTAAATAAAACAGAAGCCAGATTTGAATTCTTGGACTCTGATTACCCTTCGGTCAACACTTATAAATTTTCTTTTACATCTTTACCTAATTTTTGGATCGATCAGTGAAGTGTGGGCATACAGGCAAGCAAACAATAATTTATTTTTACCAGGCTCCTCTACATGAAAGAGAACATGTGATTTCACTCTAACATTCCAAGCAATAGAGAGTAGACAAGCTTTTTTTTTTTTGTAGTTGACAGATTCAGATTCTAGTACTTTTGGACTAATACTTGATAGTTTCTCCGTATATGATCAAATAAATAGTAGAAAGGTGTGGGTGTGCATCTGATTGTGGGCTAGAGACAATCACAATACCTACACGTGCATCTGGAACGAAGATCTATGGTGAAAAAATATTAGATATACAATAGTACAATCAGTAAACTTCGGTACACTCGCAGCTATTTTCAATCGTTTAAGTATAGTATATAGTTTTCTTCAAGAATCAGTTAGTGACCAGGCGTCTTCTTAGGGGGAAAACAACTGCATTATCTCGAAGAAAAAATCTTATTTCTAGATCTTTGTTTAGTTGACTTCAGAGCAGAAATAAACTTGTCAAAAATGATCCACAAAGATATTTAGAGGAAAAAATTCATTCCAAGGAGAGATCAGATAAACTTGCTTTTATGTACGAAAAGAAAATATATAAAATACATACTATTGATTCCAATAGATAATTGATGTTGCGTTGTTCAACTCAAATTAACTTGTAATTAACAATTACAGATTAGAATGTTCGATAAATATTACCTCAACGACAACGATCGATATCCCTAAAGATAAATAAAGCAAACAAATGAATATCATAACTTTCATATTAAAGACCTTGATAAAATAAAAATCATCGAACTTATAGACAATCAACAAGAACTATGAGCAGCTGCAAATGTGTCTATTCTTTCCAAGTTTAATAAGGACAATAAAACTGTAGTGCAAAAAATCATACCGAGAAAACTATCTTATTTAGTTCATAAATCTCAGTGGACGCAAACATGATTAATAATATTTATCAAATCAGCAAGGTCGACACACTTGCTGCAAACTGAAGTTAAATTAGTGACTTTTTCGGATTAAGTCTAGTCGATTGTTTCAAGAAGATTGAAATCAAGTCAAATCATAAGTAATTGACTTGAGCTTTGTTTTAGTTTCATGATTGAATTGTTTATCAACGTATTAGAAAAGACTCCACATCATTGTATTATTACATATTCATACACTTAACATTTGTGATATTATTTTCACTATCTTGATTTTGTGTTACTGAAGTATAAAAGTTATTAGAAGTAAATTCAACCATCTTATCTAATTCATTCTGAATTCTAGATAAAAATGCAAACTTCTCTAATAAGTGCGATCTCTACAGTTCAAAAAGGGCAAACTCACTATCATCAGTATCAGTTTAATTCAGCGCACACATCTTCTCAACATCACAATGATAAAATAGCTCAGAGTGATTGAACAAAGGAAATAAAATCAGCACATCCTAATTCTCAACTGCATACTCACCCTTATTCCCTTATCTTTCTAGAAAATGAGTGAGTATACGGTCTTAATAAATTTATTCATCACTATATATACAGTGTTCGAGTTTATATTTTATCCACTGAGATATCACTATTATTTCAAATAGCATAAACAATAAGTTTTATACTAGATAACAGTTCACCTGAAACGAAATTTAGAAGTATTGACTCGTTATTCTAACGATGAATGCATGCTATAGTGTTATAGAAAGTTTTAGGTGATCAAACACTCCGTTATGGTACAAACATTTTGAAATTTAATGATTAAATAATAATACCGGTATTAAACTATTGGAAAAATTTAGAAGTATATCAATGAAAGGTGTTGAAAAACTCTTGTATTCTGATTCTAATCTCGTTCTTTAGTCGTCAAATTCCAAAAAAAGATTTTCACTAAAATAATCAGGAGAGAGAACTCTATAACGTCCATCAGACAAAAACAATCATTTAGAAGTTTATATTTTTGTAGTTAACTAGTCATCAGAGCGCCCGACAACATAAAGTCTGCTGTAGTTCTATAATATATTCTCGTCTTTTGAATGATAAATCATACTCCTAAGTCTATTTTTGATGGAGTTTCATCTGATATAGAATTCATTATTCATTCTACACTAAACTATATTGATATTCTACTCGAAAAGTATTATTCTCAACCATATATACACTACAATTTCAGGAGAATGGGTCTTTAAATTATATGCTAATATCTATCCCGTAATAAAAGATTCAAATTCTCTGGCAGATGTTGGCCCAAACAAGCTGTAATTTATACCTGTAATACAGATACACTCAAAAGTTTTTCTTACAGGACGCATGGATAAAGGTGTCGACGTGGGCGTGAGTGAAACTGTTCTATCTATAACGGCCTCATCATCTCGCAGTAAGAGAAAGAAGATATATTGATCATGGCAGTCATTTACAGTCTCTGCTAGATCCTAGTGATACTAGATAGTTCATACCAAACACTTCTAACCGCTCCTACACTGCGCTACGACCTCCTGATTACTACTAGCCTATTGCGATATGCAGTACTCCTCGTACTCCTCACTAACATCTATTAGTGCATACCAGTCACTGGAAAATCCCAGTATTACTATCTGGTACTTTATACTAACTCCTAGTATTGGTACAGAGTACTTCCTATTATGTCTTACTCTTACCACCTAGTACTTTCTTTAGGTCCTACTATTAGTGGCTGGTACTTCCTTTAGGTCCTAGTATAGTATCTGGTACTTCCTCCTAGATCCTAGTGTTAGTACCTGGTATCTCTTACTAGATCGTTGTGTTAGTAGCTAGTACCTCTTACTAGGTCCTAGTGTTAGTACCTGGTACCTCTTACTAG